GGCTGTGCTCCAGTCCTGCCTCGTTGGAATCCCATCTCGGTCTATGTAACTGTGGGCCTTGGACAAGCTACTTCTCTAGGTTTTGGTTTCCTCGCCTATACAACTGGACTGATAATTAGACCTGCCCCAGGGTTGTGTTAAGTTTCAGTGAAACGATGCACGTAGAGTGCTTAACACAGGGCATGGCATGTGATCAGGGCTCAAAAACCAGTAGTGGTCACTGCTGATACGATGTGCTGCTTCTGGGAAGCTTGAAGACCAATCTCACAGCTCCAGGTGGGCTGCCCATGGAGGAGGCAAGAGGCAGGGGCCTCCTGCCTGGGGATGACGGATGTCTCAACCAGACTACTGTCCCCTTAGGAAATGGCAGGTGAGGGTCCAGGCCCAGAAAGACTCCTGTGCCCGTGAGGGTATAGCAACCTCTTCCTGCAGTTGGGGAACAAGTTGGGCCTTGGCCTCAGCTGTGAGAACAGGGAAGGGGGTCACATCAGCCACAGGGCTGGCTGGACAAGGACCCCTGAGCGACATTCTGGGTGCAGAGCTTGGGGCAGGGTGAGGTCTGCATTGGGGTGCTGGGGCTCAGTCTTGGTGGAAGCAGGGAGCAAGGCCAATCCTTTTCCAGGCCTTCTGAAATCAGAAATATGAAGTTTTAAAAGAACAGCACACACACAAAGAAATTTTTTTTGCAGCTGTTTTGGCATTTGGGGAGTAATTTACCAACTTCAAGTTCAGCTTAATGATGTTGGGGATAGGCAGCTTCCATGGGAGTTCTGCTTCCTAGCAATCTGTGGTCGCCCAGCCAGCAAAGAGGGCTGGGCGGGTGGTCGGTGGAGAGCATTAACAGTAACACGTTGTGTATTTATCATCAGAATGGAGCCCCCCGGGCACAGGGGTAGTGCCCATGGCCGCTCAATGGTGTATTTGTCATGTGGGCACTGACACAATCAATTGACCCCCTTACACACCGGTGTTTATTAGCCATTGTATAAATATTTCACCCCTCCCCGGCTGACACATAATCTCTTCTTTGCTGCCTCTGACAAATGAACATTTCTCTGTAGACTCTTAAATGAGGATGTGTCACAGCTATGTCACCGATTAATTTTTTTTACCACTACGAACAACGATGCATAGAAATGTAACTTATATTCATTTCCCGGCTTGAGCCCAGCTGTCTGAAAAATTCCACCAGCAGCTCCGACTGACAGACAGCTATCCCAGCACTTGGGCGTGCTGACATGTGGTTGTGTGAGTGCCAGCTTGTTAATTATGGGCCTTCTCTTCCGGCTTGGCTGCCGAGTAACCAGCCACAAGGACCTTAATCACTGCTGGGGCCAGGAAGGGCCTGGTTCAGAGGGCTCCAGGGGCCAGCTCCCCAACCCAGCCTAACCACACACATTTTTTTCCTCCAAGCATTAGCCACCTTTTCCTCTGGGCCTTTGTTTGGGACGTCCTCTGAAGTCACCCCAGTAATACTCATTGCCACCTTCAACTCTTCACCCACTGATTCATGAGATCATAAGGGTAGGGACTGGGTCTTATTTGCTAAGCACAGGGTGGATGCTCCAGAAATATTTGTTGATGTTAAATCAGCTAAAGTGCAATTATTGAACAATGCACCAGCCACCTGACATGTATTGTTCGTCTTTTCAGTGAATATTCTTGGAGGCCCTACTACGCAGGCCTATAGACCTCTAAGCAGAGGAAAAGATGACCATTGCTTGGAGAAAAGAATGAGTATGTGATTAGACTAGGGTGGGAAGCTGGCCCAGGAGCCTTCCAAAGCTGGCCCTTCCTGGGCCCAGTAGCGATAAGGGCCTTGTGGCTGGTTACTTGGCAGCTAGACCAAAATGAAGTTCAGGTTCTAGTGGTGGGGGACTGGAGGTTCTAGGGGTAGACACTGTTCATACCCTGGTTTGCAGCCGAGGAAACTAAAGGACAAGTCAAGCCATTGGAGTCAGGCTAAAAGCCTGTGTCATCTGACCCCAGTGCCTGCACACCTAACCATTCTGTCAATCATCCTGACCCACCGTCCTTTCCCCAGGCTGCCTCAGCATCGCCTTCACTACAGCTCACCTCCCCTCTTTTCCTTTCTTCTCCTTCACTCTTTCCTCTTCCTCGCAGATTCTTGAGTCACCTTGGGCTTCAGAGCCAACTCAGCATCTCTGCCCCCACCCGACCCTGTCCATCTGCTGCTTCCCCTCTCCACCCACCCACCCACTGGCACAGGACTGAGCCTTCAGCAAGTGTCTAGGCTGCCCCCTACCCCACCCCCTACTTCCATGCACCTGTGTCCCATGCACCTGTGTCCCTTCCCTGATGTCATATAACTGCTGGCTGGGAGCCAAGTACACCACACCTGGGGACACTTCCAGTAGATTAACCAGCTCACACCAGCTCTGCCGTTCGTTGCCCATGAGGCTCTTAAGAGACTGACCCGAGAAATAGAGACCCCTCCCCCTGCACATCCAGGGAAGAGATACTCCCTACTGCCACGTCCATGGAGGTGACACGAAGCAGTCAAAACTGCTGACGTAAGTGGTCGGGTAGAGAGCCTGGAATGGGAGTCGGTCTGAATCCCAGTTTCTCTTTACCCACTGTGTGCCTTGGGCAAGTCACTCATTTTCTTTTTGTCTTGTACACTGGGGGTGCTAGTACCTATTTCCCAGGGCTGCTTTGAGGGTGAAGAGAGCTGACGTGGAGCAGCACCGAGCGTGGCACCTGGTGCGCAGTAAGTGCACAGTAAATGGCAGTGTCTTTCTTTTCAAGGAAAGGACTTTCAAGACTCTGTCCCATCTTGACCAGTCATCTCCCAGAGAAGAAAAGCTGTTCGAACCTGTCTCCTGAGACACACGCATGTGCCTGTTAATCTCCCAGCCCACACTGACCTAGGAGGTGGCCCTCTGAGATCCCATGTACCGGGTAGTGCTGCCCCCTTCTTCCCGCCCGGCCTGAGCGGTCAGCTCCAGGGAATGAGATGAAACTGCTGGGCGTGGAGCTGCCCAGAGGATCTGCCCTCACCTTCAATTAGCATCATTCCAAATGATGCCACACGTGAACACCCAGCCCCTGCAGCACTGAAAGAAGTGTATGTTGTATTATCTTGTTGAAAAGTCACAAAACCCTCTGAGTTAGGTATGTCTGACCTCGTTTTACTGGTAAAGAAATTGAGACCCAAAGAGGTTAAGGAAACTACGAAAGGTCACACAGAGCCAGGACTTACTCGAACTTGGGTCTACCTCGTTCCCAATTAAGGGCTCTTAACTACCTCCATGTGTCACCTCACTCAGACCTCCTTCCCCATGACACTCACCAAGCTCCCAGGGCGTGCTCCAGGGAGCAGGACCATTTGCTCTATGATGTCATCAGGGGCCTGTGCCATGATGTCAAGGCCCCAGTGGCCCTACCCTGCCCCGCAGATGGGGACTTAGTGGAGCTGAGGACAAGGTCAGAGGAAGGAGAAGCCCTTATAACACAGGGCTGGGCCAGGACCAGGATGACAGCAGGCTGGGGAGGGGGCTGATGCAAGAAAGGGGCCCTTCAGGTGGAAGCTTGGTTGTGCCATCCCCTATACATTTCCTTGTTCGAAATGGAGCACGGAGCCCCGGAAATCAGGACAAAAGCACCACCCACAGCTCTGGTCTCGATGACTCAGATTCCACCTCCCACAGCCTCCTCCTGTGTGTTTCTGAATGTGTGTGTACCCGAGCATGCACCCCACCAGTGCATGAGGCTGTCAGCTGAGCACATGTGTGTGCATATGCATGTACAGGAATGAGTCCACATGTGCACAGGCCTGAGCTCACATGTGCTGTGAGCATCTGCCTACCTATCTCCAAGCCCAAGCCCTCAGGGTATGATGACCAGTGGGGTCAATGATAATCATTACGCCAATAGCCGACCCGCTTCCTACGTTCATAAGCACTTTAGATGCTAAGTACTTCACATGTAGTATCATCGTGTGGAATCTTCACAACAGCATAATGAGTGGAGTACTATCTTTATTCCCATTCTACTGATGATGAAACCGAGGCTCAGAGAAGTAAACTGCTTTTCCAAGGACACACAGCCAGGAAATGGTGTAATTTTCAGATGCCGAAGTCTGTGCCCAATAAGATGCACTTCCCTTCTTGACCCCTCTAGGAAGGTTGGAGAGAAGACCCCAAGGGTCCTTTGTAATCAGAAACTGGCCAGGGTCCCTGAAGGAAAGGGGGCCAGAAGCCAGAGTCTTGGAGGAGAAGCAGGGCAAATAGCAGATAGACGCCTGAGCAGGAGAGGGCAGGGCAGCTGTCTCTCAGAACAGGTGTCAGAGAAGCTGTGACAGCCACTTAGAACCACAGTGGCAAGCCTCCTTTACATGGCTATTTGCATATATTTGCATGTATTTGCATCACCAAATCTGTGGAATCGGCCTTAATGGTCCCTGCCTCGGAAGACTGGCAGAAGCCGAGAGGGTGGGAGTGACAGGGAAGGCCTGGGGAATTTGGGAGGGGAATGGAGGGAAGAGGCAGTGCTGTGGAGGCACTGGGAGGAGCTGGGCACTGCTAAGAGACCGTTTCTAGGGGGAAGCAGGAAGATTCTCTCCCTTGTGCCCTGGGAAGCCTCCTCGCCCAGAGTCCATCCCCTGAGGGCCGCAGGAAGTGGGTGGGGTATTCAGACATCGGGGAGAGCGGAGGAGGCTTTAGGATCTGGGTCAGTGGTCAGCGCTCGGGAGGAAAGCTGCGCTTCACGCCTGGGTTTGGAGCCGCCAACCCAGTGTCCTGGACAGGCTGGCCAAAGGAAAGTGGAGGGCCTTGCACTCAGTCTCCCTGCTGGGAGGCCGCCCACTCAGCCGCAGGAGCTCCGTGGCTCAGTGTTCGGGCGCCATCTAGTGGACATAAGCGGAAAAGCGCCCCCCCCCCCCCCTTCCTGCCTGCTCTGGCCCAGCCTCTTCCCCATTGCTGCCTTCCCAAAATGCGTGCCTGCGCCGCCTGTGCGAGGGTGGAGGGCTGAGGGAGAACGCGGGGAAACCTGGTTCTGCAGCCCGCGGTCTGAGTGGGCCTGGTAATTGCGATTGTCCGGAGGATCACCAGCAGGGAGCTTCCGACGGGTCTCAGGCCAGGCTAAGATGGACTAATACAGCTAAGTGGGGAAGAGCTTAGGCCTTAAATCAGAAAAACATGGCTGTGCCAGTTACTAACAGTGTGACTTTGGGAAATTAACCTCTGAATCAGTTTCCTCATCCGTAAAAAGGGGGTGATAATATTGACTTGTGAGAATGAAAGGAGATAATATGTGTTAAGAGCCTATTAGTAGGGTCAAGAGGAGGGAAAAGCAAGCGAGGTGCCTGGGGCACAAAATTTAAGGACTTGGGGCTTGCAGGACACTGAGACTTCCTTAAAATTTGTGTCCTAGACTCCTCATTCTTTTCACCCTGGCCCTGGCCTTGCTTGTTATAGGCACACTGCCTGGCACATGAGGCACACCTGATCAGCAGAAACTACTGCTGATGTTATCATCGTATTGTTACTGCTGTGAGGATGCTAAGGCCTTGAGAAGGCAGCACCCTACCCCCAAAGCCCAGAAAGAAGTAGCGCCCCAGCTCCCATCTGGCCTGGTCTGGTAAGGGTGTGAAGTGAGATTGGAGGCCAGAAGTGTGAGGGGCCACCTGCCAATGAGTCAGGAGAAAGAGAAAGTTACAGGCAGATGGGAGTGGAGGGGGCCACTGGGTCACAGACCTCGTGTGGCTTCTCAGATTCTCTGCGACCAACTGATAGACAAGGAAGGGACCCAGGCCCAGCTCCCAGATGATCAGTGTGGTATGTTGGTGAGAGTTGGAAGTGAACTGTTGCCACATTACAGCCCTCTCAGGGTGACCCTCAAGGACAGTGGTGAATGGAAGTCCCACCCAATGTGCAACGCTTTGAGCAGTATACTTGGTCATCAGCTTTGTCTAGAAGAAGAAGTGACTGAGGTGTGGATATTCCCTGACTCCTGGGAAGTAGTGAGTGGCTTGGCTGGCAGCTCAGGAGCCTGGAAAGAACAAGACCAAGACATGTGACAAAGAGGACTAGGGAAAGATGGATGGACAGACTTCTGAGAGTGGGCACCAAGTGTGCAAGCTTCCAGATCTCAAGAAAACACTCTGCAGAGCATCCATTGCCAGGAGGCTCTCAACAAAGCAGACAATGACTCATCGGGTGAGTGAACCTCTTCCTGTCCACCCCAAATGCCTGCACAAGAGCCCTGGAACAGAGTGGTCATGGTGCCAGGGATGGGGGCAAGGCATGGACCCAACAGCATGGGCTCCCCTCCCCAAGGCCGAGCTAGTTCTACACTCTGAGGGCTCAGCTCACTTATGGCGAGGGCTCGCTGCCGAGTGCTTAGTAGGGCTCTGTTCCTCGGAAGACCAGTCAAGCCTGGTGGCAGGTGGGTTGCACTTAACCCCTTCCTTCCACCCTGGAGGCGACAGTGATTTGTCCTTACTGGAGCCAGTGTGTGCTTAGGATTTGGGCTTCTCTTCCTTGTCTGCAGTGCCTCCATGAAGAAGGTACAATGATAGGGTCCTCTAAGACTTTTACTCTCTCAGCTCTGACATTTGAGTCTTTGATCCATTTTGAGTTAATTTTTGTTGCGATATAAGGCAATAATGGGATGGTGATCAATGGATTCATTGGTCTAACTCAGTTGTACCTCATCACCCAGAAGCAGTCAGCCTGGCAGAATGGCAGAGCAGCCTGTTAAATGCTCAATATCCTGGCAGGAGCACAATGCCTGTGGGTTGGGCCCTGAACTCCTTGACCTGGTATTTGTTTTGAAAAGCACTGTGTCCCCTATACCTGAAAATTACAGGTCCCAGAATCAATGTGGAAGTGGAAGTGGCCCATGTCACTCTCAGATTTATACCTTTTTCTTCCTGTTCCCAAAACTTTAGGTTTTGCCAGTTAGAGGTCTTGGCTCCCAGGGAGGGAGAACTTATGCCAGGGAGCACGGCAACGTTTCCCCTAAATTGGAAGCTGTGACTGCCACTTGGCCACCTTAAGCTCCTCATGCCAGTGGACCAATAGCAAAAAAGGACAGTACTGTACTGGTCAAGGTCATTGATCTTGATTGCCAGGAGGAACCAGGGCTGTAGATAGAATGCATGTAGATACAATGGAGGCAGGGAATGGTATGCCTGGACCAAGCCAGGGGATTCAGTGGGCATCTCTTAGAACCTCCCGCCCAGTAGTCTTTGACAATGGACAACCTCAGCAATGACAATCCCAAAAGGGCAGGCAACCAAGGGATCAGAACTTTCAGGGATGAAAGTCTGTATGATCTCATCAGGCAAGTAGCCCAGATCTGCAAAGGGCGAGCTAAGCCAAAGGGAAGGAGGGAGGCAATGGCAGTTATGGACTCAGGACCAGCTCCAGCAGTGGGGACTGTGGCTGCTTCATTAATTCTTTTGACTTTATCTTCCTTGAGATCAGATCTAGCACTATCTTGAAGGGGTCTTGTTTACAGTGGACTGTACCTCCCTTTTTGAGGAAAAAGTAATGACAACTTTGTTCTCATGGAAACAAATAGGAGGCCCCGTGGTGTGGTATGGGTCAGATAGAATGGGAGAGCGTGAGTGGGTCTCAGTGGCAGTAGGTGAGGACAGTATGGAAACACACACCTTTCTTCTCTAATGCCGTGAGTACCTCCTTGCCCTCTCTGATGTTGCCTCTCCACTTTCAGGCTTAGACAAAAGGCCACACTGTGCAGTGTGGGATCTGGTTTCCAAGTGCCACCAAGGGCTGGATGACAGAACACAGAAGCTTGAGGTGAACCTTGATCCATGGGGATAGGTTGTGAGTGGGAGCTGTGGGCTACTGCAAGGTGTGTTTCCTCCTTGCAGCCTTCTGGAGAAGTCCCACCATGTGCTAAGCGCACACTGGCTGAGCAGTCTGCAGTGTCTCTCCGTGGCCCGTCCAAAGCATAGTTGGGACAATAAGGCGTCGCAACCACCTTGCTTTCATCTTCCCTGCACGTATTTCCATTCGCCTCACCCTCAGCCCCCGGGCTTTCCCCTAAATCCTGGGTACAAGCTCTGCTGCTAGAGGACCTAAGACAAGGGGTTTCTGAGAGCTGTCTCCCACTGTGTGCCACACTGTGGTCACCGCCAGGACCTGAGCCTGACCACTCCAGCACTGCTCCTGCAGCCAAAGAAATAGAGACCTCAGGGGGACAGGAACCTACCAACTACTTTCCAGATGGAGGTAGGGGCAGGTAGGAGAGAGAGGAGAGGAGAGGGTAGAAAGTTAATCCCAATGAAAGTTGTCCCCTGTAAATGAGTCTGTGAGGGGAGTTTTCTGGGAAGGAGTGGCTGGATCCTGGAGGTGAGAAGGGAGGGCAATATTCCTTCCCCCCATTTGAGTGCACACCTCCCCTGCATGCAGGGCTAGGAGTGAGTGCCTCTGAGCTCCCTCAGACCTCCATATTCCTGGGAGGGGTCAGTGCCTGACTCTCAGATGATCTGGACAGTGAAAACATCCGGAGGTGGGGGGGGGGGGGGCGGGAGAGCGGTGTGCTGGGGGCAGGAGGAGGCAGCAGCAGGCAATAGGTCCAGGGCAGCAAAGCCTGACGCCTCCCTTTTCCAGGGCAGGGAGCCAAGTGGGGCCAGACTGCAGCTGAGGGACCCTCCTCCGGGCCTAGGTCTCTCACCTTCTGGCTACTCCAAATCCCCCAGGTCATACACTGCAGGCCCATGGCACAACCCAGTCCAGAGCACAGCCTCACACTCCAGTGGAGGTGTGTGCCTCTAGAGGGACCAGCCCAGGAACAGTTTGGTGGTTTGCAGGGAGGCAGGGCAGGAGTAAGTTCAGGCAGAGACTGAGAAAAGAGATCAAATGTCCCTAAGGTCACTCCTACACCCACCCTGCCCTTCTCTAGACATGTGTGGAGTGCACCAGGCTGGGGGCAGAAGTCCCGGCTTAAAACTGTGGTCTGCTTGTTCATGGGGTCATCCCAGTCATTCTACCCCTAGGCAAGGCCCCACTTTTCCTATATTTTCAAAGCAGAAAGAGGGGCAGAGTGTGAGGGACCTGAGCCCCAGGCAGTTGGCCTGCCTGCCTGGGATGCATAAATGGGTTGAAGGGGGCCATCTGTGATAGAATGCATGGATATTTTTCTAAGGAGCAGTCCATAACTGTCATCAGATGCTCATAAAAGTTTAAGATCTGCCTGTGCTGTCCAGCATGGGAGCCACTAGCCACATGTTTAAATTAATTACAATAAAATAAAATAATTCACCTCCCTTGGCTCACCAGCCACATTTCAAAGTCTCAATGGCTACATGTGGCTAGCGGCTGCCGCGTTGGACAGCAAAGATATAGAACACGTCCATCATTGCAGAAGGTTCCATTGGACAGTGCTGCCCATTAGCTTAAAAAAAATTTTCCAGGGGCTGGCCCCGTGGCCGAGTGCTTAAGTTCACGTGTTCTGCTTCAGCAGCCCAGGGTTTTGCTGGTTCGAATCCTGGGCACGGACATGGCACCACTCATCAAGCCATGCTGAGGCAGCGTCCCACATAGCACAACTAGAAGGACCTATGACTAGAATATACAACTAGGTACTGGGGGGATTCGGGGAGAAAGAAAAGAAAAAAAAAATAGAAAATAAAAAAAGTCCCGCTTTATTGAAGTGTAATTGACAAAACTGTATGAATTTAAATTATCCAACCTGATGATTTGATATATATATATTGTGAAATGATTACCACAATGACGTTAGTTAACACATCCATCACCTCACATAGTTACTTTTTTTGTGTGTGTGCGGTGAGAACGTTTAAGATCTACTCTCTTAGCAAATTTCAAGTATATAATACAGTGTTAACTATGGTCGAGATGCTACACATTAGATCCCTGCCCGTTAACTTCATGCATCAGGGAAACTGAGACCTAAAGAGGGAGTAACCTGCCGAAGGCTCCCAAGGGGCGTCAGTGGTGGCCGGAGGATGAGATGCCCTTCATAAAACGTCTTGGAGTAAAACTGCATATATCTTCTTGTAGATACAGCTCACATCAACAGTCTGGGGTGGAGGGAGACAGGGCTCTGGTTGTGGGGGTGAGGTTGGGGGAAGGGGAGTGTCCTGTGTTTGTTCCTCCCCTCCCCCCTCCTCAGGGCTGCCCCAGCCCCAGGATAAAGGAGGCTTAGAGGCCTGGAACTCCTTCCCCTCCCCCATGATGATCTCATCCTCACAAAAATGCGGGAAGGGCAGTGGGGAGGGGGCAGAATAGTGTGGGTGGGAGAGATGGCAGAGTCCTCAGGCCAGAGAAATTGGGAGCGGGGAGGGCTGTGCTTATCAGAACCAGTGTCGGTGCAGCCATCTTCCTAAAATCCAAGTCTGAACCTATCACCCCAGGCTTAAGCTCTTCTTGGGGTGGAGACCGAATCCCACCCTAGAATTACAGGGTCTGCGTGGCCTGACCCCTGTGGTCCCTTAATCTCAGCTGGTCCCAAACGCCCTGTCTCTTTGCTCTGTCTCTATTACTCACCAGATTTGCTCCCACCTCAGGACCTTTACACCCGTGGTTCCTCGGCCCAGAACACTCTCTCTCCCACCCCTAATTAACTCCTGCCCATCTTTCTGATCTCAGTTTAAGCACAGCTTCTTGGAGAAGCCTTCCCAGACCCTCAGGCCAGGTCAGCTTCCTCTGTTGTATGCTCTTACAGTGCTTCCTTTTGGGTCACTCATCTTAGGTTGTAACTGTACAGTTCTCTGTCTTTCTTCCTTTCTTTCTTTCCTTCTTTCCTTCTTTCCTTCCTTCCTTCCTTCTTTCTTTCTTTTTTTTTTTGGTGAGGAAGATTGGCCCTGAGCTAACATCTATTGCCAATCTTCCTCTTTTTGTTTGAGGAAGATTGTCCCTGAGCTAACATCTATGCCCATCTCCTTCTATTTTGTATGTGGGATGCCGCCACAGCATGGCTTGATGAGTGGTGTGTAGGTTCACGCCCGGGATCTGAAACTTCCAACCCCAGGCCACCGAAGCGGAGCATGCAAACTTAACCACTATGCAACCGGGCCAGCCCCATGTATACATTTCTTTTGGGGTTCTTTGATAAATGTCTCACTCCCCTAGTAGACTATGCTCTCCACAGTCTGTTTCTGTTCATTGTTGTATCTCTAAACCCTTGAGCAGTGGTTGGTCCAGAAGAGATGCTAAATAAAAATATGAGAAGTAAATGAAATGATTGAATGGAAATGTTCCTTCCTGAAAGAAGCATGCTCTTCAGAGCCACCCCCAACCCCGACTGGCCCGTCTTATCAGGACCAAATGTGGGTGATGGCTGTGCCCTCTACCACCCAGAGAGGGAGGCAGGGGGAGGAGTGAGACCTGGAGGCCCCTGGAGACAATGGAGGTGATCAGGACTTGCAGGAAACTGGATGAGGAGACAGGAAATTGGATGAGGAGTAACAAAAGTGATGGAACTGACAAGATGACCACTAGGTAAAAATACAAGGAGTGCAATGTGGTCTCATTTGACAATAGGATGCCATGGGATGACTGGTTAAAACAAGATCATGGGATATACCTGAGTGATGGGATAGCAGGCCAGCGGGTTTAATCCAGAGTCACGGTAGAATTGACTGGTCAACATAGTAACAAGGAATGGGAAACATTTATTGAGCACTTATCGTGCATCAAGCCCTTTCCACATATTCATATATTTCCATAGATCAATCTTTTTTTAAAAAAAAAGATTTTGTTTTTCCTTCTTCTCCCTAAAGCCCTTCAGTACATAATTGTATACATTTCAGTTGTGGGTCCTTCTAGTTGTGGTACGTGGGACGCCGCCTCAGTATGGCCTGATGAGCGGTGCTAGGTCCGTGCCCAGGATTCAAACCGGTGAAACCCTGGGCGGCCAAAGCAGAGCATGCGAACTTAACCACTTGGCCACGGGGCCGGCCCCTACAGATCAATCTTTACAACAGCCCTGGGATAGGCACTATTATCAACTCCATCTTGCAGAAAAGGAAACGAAGGCACAGAAAGATTAAGTTACTTGCTCAGGTCATGCAGCTGGTAGAGGTGGGGTCAGAATTTGACTTTAGAGCCTTTGCTCTTAGTTAGTACATCATACCATCCCCTTTCGGTGAGCAAATGGCCCCCTAAGTGATTGTACTGTAGTAGCCCCTGAATTGCGTGGGGAGGTGGAGGAGCCAAGAGAGACATGGGAGAGGGTACTGGAGAATTCCCTTCGGCACCCCCTGTTGCTTGGTTCTGCCCCTTCCTCTGCTCACTCAAGCCCCTTTTGTCTCATGTGTTAGGGTTAAGGTTTACTAATGTCACATTCTTTCTAATCTCCCCTCCCTGCAAAATGCCAAAGAGGCTGAATCAAACTGCACAATAAAGAGCATGGGAGAGAGAAAGACTGGATGGCTGTGGGAAGGACTTGGGGAGACAGGGTATCGAGGAGGGAGAAGTCCCAGACAACGGAGGTTTGTGAGCCACACAGCAGTGTTGCGGTAGGTTATAAGGTCTTTTGACAGAGGAAACATTGGAGACCCTGTTCATTCTTCTTGGTTTCTGGACTGTACCTTATTTTTAAACTGTGGCTGCAGAGCAGGCAGATCAGATGGTGATGGTTAGTCATGCAGTCTCTCTTGCCAGGGTGAACTGGGGGGTCCGGGGTAAGGTTTGGAGAGGGTCCGTTCCTAGTACCCTTCACCCACCAGGCCCTGAAGGAGTCACGGACAATACTCCAGAAGGAAAAGGCAGCTCAGCCCAGATTACCAGCCACGGCTGTCCCTGGAGTAAAGTGAGTTCCCTGGCTCAGCCTGGCACCGCTGACCTTGCTGCAGGTGGGCTCCTTGGACAGTAAGGATGAAGGAGGTCTGGGACTCAGGACAGCCTCCCAGGGAAGAAGTCCCTCTGAGGGACACTAGCCACCCACACAGTCTCACTCTCCTTCCTGCGAACTGCTTCACTTCTACGCTACCGTTCTCCTTGCTCTCTTTTCCTAGGATGCCTCCAGCTCTTTTCAGGACATTTCGTGACCACTCTCTGTTTCCTGTTTCTCAGACCAGCAGCCCTCCCCTCATCCAAATCATCCTGGGACGCATATGCCCCCACAAGGGAACAGTTGATTTGCTACTCTACCCCATTCTTAAGCATTCAGAGAAAAGATCAACCCCAGAACTCCATGCTCCCCTTCCTTGAGCCCACTGCCCTCCCTTCTGCCCATCTATAAGGGGCCAGGGCTGACACCTGCAGGCTTACTCCGTCAGTCCCTGTGGCCTCACAGCAGACCTGGTCAGTGCTCCATCGTCCCCAAGTCAGGGTCACAGAGGCTTCAGCCCTTGTCTTCCGAAGCCTGGGATGTCTTCGCTTTCTGCCATCATTCTCTCTCATCTCTGTCTTGACCTGTTTCTGCCCTTAGGAAGGCTGAGATTGGAAGAAGGGGTGGGGAAGGAAAGACCTGTGCCTCCCTGGCGAGGCCCCAAGATCCAGGGACACTCCCTCTTCTAGCTCCCAATGACCCTGGAATCAAAGAGTTCTCTTTGCTCCACTGTGCTCAGGCTACAGGAATCCCCTGAGTCTGCTCTGTCCCCTTGGTGACAGATTATAGGGTCACAGAGAGAGACATGGACACAGACAGGTACAGAGAGACAGAGACACACAGAGGCAGAAAGAGAGATAGACACAGAAAAAAACCAAAAGATTCAGAGTGAAGAAATATAGAAATACACTCAGAGGACCACAGAAACAGAAGAAAAGAGACAGAAATAGGAAGAGAAACAGAGAAATAGAGGTGGGGGGCGAGGGTGGAGAGAGACAGAGACAGAGACAGAGATAAGACAAACTGAGGATGAGAGCCAGGGAGAAAGAGAGAAGGAAGATACAACCCAAGGGCCAGTGGCTCCACTTGCCCAAAAGGGTTGAGCCAGGGAAGGGAAGTGGGGTCTCAGGGAAGGAGCTGGGTCTGTGGCTCTGCCCTGACCCTCTGGCTGAACTGTTCTCAACTTGGAGTCACTGAACTTGGATGGGAAAAAATTACATTATTTTCACTAATCTCTAGCTGAAATTTAGCATCTCCTTCAATTATGACAGTGGCAACAAACCAGTATTAGCCATAACTATGGCTTTGTCACCAATAGAAATCACGTACATTTTTGTCTCATATTACAGTATTGCAGATATTTTGAAATATCATTTACGCTCATCACTGCTTCAAAATTACATGAGGTATCAACCTACTGCTAGATCTTATTTAAAGCATTAATAAAGAAGCACACAAATTACTATGTCACGTTAAAACAGTTTTGTAAGTGCATTGCAATATAATTGGTTTCCTTTGTAATCCTACATATTTCATTTTATGCATTTTAAAACATTATTCTGAGACTGGGTCCATAGGCTTTACCAGATTGCCGAAGGGGAACATGACATAAAAAAGGTTCAAAACTCTTGCATCTGGCCCCTGACTAGGACCCCCCCACCCCCTGCACCCATCCCTGCAAGCTCCCTGTGCCCTGTACTAATTTACCCTACCCCCCTCTCTTGGTGGGTTATTCTGAGTCTTCCAAGAAGAACCTGCCAAGGCAGGATAAAACGTGCAAGGATTTGATTAAGGGAAATGCCTGTGAGAGAAGACGAGAACCAGGGCCTGGGAGAGCTATGAAGGAGAGAGGGAAGGAAGGAGCGTTGGGAGGAAGCATCCTAGACCACTATGCCATAGAAGAAAATTTCAGCAAGGTCATGGGGGAATTCTTGAGCCAACATCAGCTGTCTGAGGAGTCCCCTATCTTCCAGGAAAAGGCCTGCCTTAGGATCTCTGCTGAGCTTGGTCATTAGCTGGGAGCAGCCCAGTGGGAAGGTGGCCTTAGAGTAGGAGCCGATGGATGTCAGAGAGAAGCAGCTGAGGCCCTTGGTCAATTTTCATTCCTTATCATTGAAGGTCTGTGAGGAGCATTCTCCTGGCCCCAGAGTTCCCATCCAAAAAAATGTCTCTTTATCTGTAAAGTGGAGGTAATAAAATTCCCTATTTGAGGGTTGTTGTGAGAATTAATAGAAATTTGCAAAGCAATGTTTGCACAGGTTCTGGGACATAGTCAGCTCTCAATAATTGGTAGCTATTATTATGGCCATTTTAATTATTAATTATTATTATCATTCTCTTTCTCTGAGAGAAAGGCTCCAGGAGCTGAATAGGCAGTCCCTCTCCAAGCTGGACAGCTGGGAGAGATGGGGACCACTTCCCTACATTCCCCTCGCCTTCCCCTGAGGCAGGGGTCTTCCCCTAGCTACTGACAGTTCCTGTGTCTGCTGACTCACAGCCAACTTCCTCTCATACAAACAGGAAAACACAGCCGGCCAGGCTACCCAACACCCCCCCCCCACCCCCCCCCCCCCACCACCACATACAGCTGAAGGCCAGCCCAGGTCTGAGAGGGAAGTACCTCAGGCTCTGGGGGACAGGCTCCAAGACTGGGGCTGCCGGCAAGATCCAGGGAGGGGTGAGGACCATTTCTCTTGAGCCCCCCTCACCCCCTGCGAAAAATTTCAGTAGGAGGGTGGGGAGAAGGGGCTTCTCTCAAGGATGAACAGGCTGCTGCTGGGTTACTGTGCTTGTAGGGCGCCAGCCTTATCCCCCAAAAAGCAGCCCCAAACCCTGCTTTGAGAGTAGGGGTGTTGCCCTGCTGACCTTCATCCCTGGGGAAGAAACCTCGGCAGGGCCCTTGGGGAGGGAGAAGCAGATGGGGACTCCTCTGCTGAGCCTCTGCCCTGTTCCCCCAAGTCGGATCGCTGGGCTCCTGAAGGGCTCCCCAGCTTGGAAGACTGGGGCTATCCGTGACTTCTGGATGCCGGCTTCCATTCCCCCAAGACCCAGGGTGTTAAGGTCTAGCCACCCTGCTGGGCGTGGGAGAGGTGCCCTGGAGGCTTAGGGCCCCACCCCTTTGTCTCCCCTTTTGGCAGGACGGGAAGGGACCAGCGGAGGGGAGGCAAAGCTGTCCTCCGCAACGCTCTCCTTTTCTCTCTCGTTCTACCCCCGTCCCTATCTCTGTTCTGGTCTCTGCTTCTTTGTCCCTCTCTCCAAGGCTGTCTCGGCCTCCAGCCGTGTTCCGGTCCCTTTCTCGGCCCCCAAGAGGGCAGAGCGCGCCAAGCCGCGAGATAAGCTCCGTGGTTGGGTAAGGAGCCCAAACATTTTGAAGGCCGGCGCTTGCACAAGGAGTGGCCGGGGCCCCAAGGAGGGAACGGACCGGGCGAGGCGGGGCTGGTCCCGTCGGGGGAGGGCTGAGAGGAGGCGGGGCCGGCGCGGCGGGACCCGGAGACTCGGCCGGCGAGGCGGGCACCGCGGAGCGGACGGCGGCCGCGTAGTGAGGTGAGGACCCCTGCGCCCCGGGCCCCGGCTTCCCAGACTCCTCCCCATCACCTCCTCGTGGGCCTTCGTGGGATCCCAGACCCCCTCCGCGCCGGCGGCCTCCCTCTCCCCTTTCCCTTCCCCCTCCTTGCCACGACCCGCCCCTCCCTCTGGTTGCCCGGCCTCTGCCCCCTCCCTCCATCCCCCCTCCCTCGTCGCAGCCCGAGCTGCCCCGCACTGCCCGGCCCGCCCCCAACACTCCTGCCCGACGCACCTCCTGGTTCCTAGTCCCGTGCCCTCGGGCCAGGCCTGAGTCACCGGGAAACTGGTCTCTGAGTCAGGGCCGGAGGCACAGCACCGGGGCCCTAGCATGGGGATGGGGCCCAGCCGCAGAGAGACAGAGAGGCCAGAACTGATGCTGGGGTGCGGGGGAGTGCTGGTCAGGGCCCCTTAGGAGAGAAACGGAGAGAGCTGAAAGAGGGAGAGAGCGTACAGGCAGAGGCGGAGAGACAGAAACGTAGAGTGAGAGTTGGCCAGAGATATGGATACAACTAAAAACTAGTTAAAATTGGAGACTGAGGCAAGGAGAGGCTTAATGACAGAGAGCTAAACAAGGAGACAGACAGAGATGGATTTAGAGGTGTAGACAGAGATGGAGTGAGGTAGAGACAGGGACAGGGCAGAGACAAAATTCAGGGGAGACAGAATTAGAGATAGGTCCAGGGAATAGACCAAGGTCAGGGTCAGGCTGGCGTAATGGGACAGAGCATGAGAGACCTGAGCCCAAGGGTGTTGGCAGATAAAAGGAAGGCTTGGAGGAAGCAGAGGTAGGAGGATGTCATTTCACCCCGCTGAGTCCCTGTAGGGGGGCTGGGTGCTCACATGTGCACAGATGTGTGTGAAGATGCTGAGGTGGGTGGAGAGTGAAGACCCTGGAATACCCTGGCCTCTGGACCCTCATCTCTCCGGCCCCCAGTTCTCCACCCCGTCCCCACTGCCCAAGTGGTCTCTGCCCAAGGCCTAGACCCCCCATGCTGGGACTAGTTAGGGCTTTCTTGGAAGCCTGACCAAGGCAGGCAGGATGTGGGGGGGCCAGGGCTGGAGGGACAGGAAGGAAGTCTGAGCAGAGACAATAGGTGGAAGGGGAGGAGGAACTGGGAATAACCAGGATTAGGAAGGCCCGCCTGTACCTCAGCTCTGGAAACCAGTGGAAGGGGGATCTGTACCCCCTCCCTCCTCCTGTGCTACAGCTGCCCCTGTTCCCACCTTATGCCACAGCAGGATCAGGCCACATCATGGGCCCCCTCCTCCCTACCACCCCCCTTCACCCTGCCCCTGTGGGGTTCCAGCATCTTGTCCCATGCTTACTTAGCTGAGTGTGCGGTAACGCAGAGGCAGAACTTTGACCCAGACCCAGGGTGGGCAGGAGCTTGGGGGCCAACGCTACCACTGACTTGCTGTGAGCCTGGGGCAAGCCTCTTCCCCTCTCTGGGCCTCAGTTTACTCATCTGCAAATGAAGGGGTTCTCCTATAATGAGAAAGCCCTTTCTAATGTTCTGGGATGGCTCTGCCTCCAGATGGCAGGCCTCTAGTCATTTTTCTTTGGAAGAAGACTGGAGTCTGGTACCCCCTTTCCAGGCCTCAGACTTTGGGACAGGGAGGGGGAATCTCAGCCTGAGCCCTCCCTTCACCCTGCCCCTCCCCCCAGCAATGGCCTGAGCCCCCATGGCTGCCCCTCAGGACCTGGACATCGCTGTGTGGCTGGCCACGGTGCACCTGGAGCAGTATGCAGACACGTTCCGGCGGCACGGCCTGGCTACAGCGGGTGCAGCCCGGGGCCTGGGCCACGAGGAGCTGAGGCAGTTGGGCATCAGCGCCACAGGGCACCGGAAACGCATTCTACGCCTGCTGCAGGCGGGCGCGGCAGAGGGCTCCCCGGACCCCCAACTGGATAGTGCCATGGAACCATCCCCAAGCACAGGCCCCCAACCCCAGCTCCCCAAGCCTGTGCCTAAGCCCAGGACTGTATTTGGTGGGCTCAGTGGGCCCACCGCCACCCAGAGGCCTGGGTTGAGCCCTGCTCTTGGGAGACCAGAAGTGTCCAGGAGCCCAGAGTCCAGCCCGAGGTCCCCTCCTCTTCCCACATCCTCCTCTGAGCAGCCTTCAGCCTTGACTACTGTGGAGATGATGCCCAATGCCATCTACTTCGGCCTGGACTTAAGAGGCGGGGCACAGACAGCTCAGGACATGTGAGTGGGTTGGGTCCCTGGGAATTCAATGGTGAGGAGGGGCAGGGGGGAGCAGAGCATGAGGGCTTGTCCTTCCTCTTCTCTTCCTAATGACCACTAGACCTTTCTCCTCAGGGCCCCGGATATCTCCCAGACAGCTGCCCCTACCCCTGCCCTCAGGCCCACAACGGGCACAGGTAGGTGGATTATCATGGGTTCAGGGAGAGGGACTGACCCTCAGGACCTCAGACACTTCCAGCTGATGTCTTCTTCCCTGTCTCCCCCATCCCTCCCCCTGCCAGTGCACATCATGGATCCTGGTTGCCTGTACTATGGTGTCCAGCCTGTTGGGGTCCCAGGGGCCCCTGACAGAAGAGAAGGCAGAGGTGTCTCTCAGGACAGGGCTGAACACAGGTGAGTAGTCAGGATGGTGATGGCAGGAAGAGTGGAAGCTTGAGGAACAGTTGAGCTGGTGGCGGCCACGTATTCAGTTATTCATCACGTGTGTGTGTGCACACACACATCAAATGTGTCCACCGTGTGCCAGCCAGGTACTCAAGATACAGGACAAAGATAACAGACCCAGTCCCACCTCAGGCAGCTCGTGATTCAGTGGGACAGACAGGAAATAAAAGAGTAGACAAACAAATGAATATATAATTTAAAATAGGGAGAAGTGCTTTTCACTCTTTCATTTAACAAATCTTTATTGAGCACCTATTGCATGCCAGATATTGTTGTAGATACTTGGGATAGATCAGAAATCCCTGCCCTCGTGGGGAGGTAGTCAATTAACAAGAGATATACTAAAAAGTTACATCCTATGTTAAAAGGTGTTAAGTGTCATGGAAAAAGATAGAGTAGGGTAAGAGGGCTGGGATGGAGTGAGGCAGGGAGTGGACTGCAAGTTTTCATTAAGAGTTGCCAGAGTGGGGGCCGGTCCCGTGGCTGAGTGGTTAAGTTCGTGCACTGTGCTTCAGCAGCACAGGGTTTCCCTGGTTCGGATCCTGGGCGCAGACATGGCACCACTCGTCAGGCCATGTTGAGGTAGCGTCCCACATAGCACAACCAGAAGGACCTACAACTAGAATATACAACTATGTACTGGGGGGGCTTTGGGGAGAAGAAGAAGAAAGAAAAAAAAGAAGATTGGCAACAGATGTTCACTCAGGTGCCAATCTTTAAAAACAAAAGAAAAAAAGAGTTGCCAGAGTGTGAAGAAGATGACATTTGAGCAAAAACCTGAAAGGAGGGAGGGAGGCAGCCATGATGACGTCTGGGAGAAGAGCGTCCCAGGCAGGGGGAGTGGCCAGAATAGAGGCTCCAAGGAGGCCGTGTGTCCAGGGGGATCCAGGAACGGTGACGAGCCCAAGGCCAGCGGAGCTGGAGCAGAGTGGGCCAGGGAGGGAGGGGTGGGAGAGGTGGGAGGAGACAACATCGGAGGTAAAAGAGGCCAAAGGTAAAAGGGGCCAGATGGGGCAGGACCTTGTAGGGACTTTTGCTTTTACTCTGAGTGAAATGGGAAGCCCATGGAAGGTTTTGACTTATGGTTTAAGAATGCCTCTGGGTGCCGGCCCGGTAGTGCAGTGGTTAAGTTCCCACATTCCGCTTTGGCGGCCCGGGGTTTGCTGATTCGGATCCCGGGTGCGGTCATGGCACCGCTTGGCAAGCCATGCTGTGGCAGGCATCCCACATACAAAGTGGAGGAAGATGGGCACAGATGTTAGCTCAGGGTCAGTCTTCCTTAGCAAAGAGAGGAGTATTGGCAGCAGATGTTAGTGCACGGCTAATCTTCCTCAAAAAAAAAAAAAGAATGCCTCTGGTTGCTGTTTGGAATGGTCTATAGGCAGCAAAAGCAGACGCGGAGACCAGTTAGGGGGTTCTTGAAGTAATCCAGTAATCTAGGTGAGACATCTCAGACTAGATGGATGGTAGTGGAGATGGTGAGAAGTGGTTGGATTTTGGTATATTTTGAAGGTAAACTGGTCTAGAAAATTGGGGTGTGAGAGAAAAGAGGAGTCAAGAATGACTTCAAGGGTTTCAGCCTGAGCCTGCACTGTCCAATGTGGTAGCCCCTAGCCACATGTGACTACTGAACACATGAAATGTGGCTAGTCTGGAGTGAGATATGCTGTAACTATAAAACAAATACCACATTTCAAAGACTGAGTATGACAAAAGCAATACGGGATGAATATAAGACATAGATATAAATTATCTTAAAATTTTTTATATTGATTACGTACTAAAATGTTAATGTTTGGGGTGTGTTGCATTAAATAAAATATGTTATTAAAATTAATTTCACCTGTTTCTTTTTTAATGTGGCTACTAGGAAATTTAAAATTACATATGTGGCTTTCACATTGACTTCTGTTGCACAGTACTGTTCTGAGTTGCCGTGGTCAGAGATGGGGAGGCTGTGCGTAGAGCAGGGAGGTGGGGCTAGAACAAGAGTTCAGTTTTGGATGTGTTGAATCTGAGGTGTATATTATATACCCAAGAAGAGGTGACAAACAGGTCATCCTCAGCGGGTCTGAGCTTCAGCTCTAGATTTGTGAGTTGTTGGCATTTAGATGGGTGTATGTCGCTGTGAGTGAGTGTTGATAGAGCAGAGGGCCAAGATCAGTGTCCTGGAACACTCCAATATCAGGAGGTTTGGGAGAAGAGGAAGAATCAGCAGAACAAGCTGAAAAGAAATGGCTAGTGAAGGAGAAGGAAAATCAGGAGGAGGTGACGTCATAGGAGCCAAGTGAAGACAGTGTGTAAGGAGAAGGGAGAGGTCAGCTGTGTCAATGCTGCTGACACGTCAAGTAAGATGAAGACTGAGAGTTGACCTCTGGAATTGGCAACGTGGAGGTCACTGGGGACCTTAGCAAGTGGGGGAGATGAAAGCTTGATCAGAGTGGGCTCAAGAGAGAACAGGAAAGGAGTTGGAAATATATAGACAACATTTTTGAGGAGTTTTTCTGCAAAGAAGAACAGAAAGTTGGAGTGGTTGATAGTGGAAGTGGAGTCCAGAAAGGGTTTTTTATAGGATGGAATGTTATGTATGTTTATAGGTGAATAGGAATGATCTGGTAGAGAGGGAAAATTAGCTGATGTAGGGGAGAGAGAGGGGAGAAAGTCTGGAGCGATGTCCTTGTGTAGGTGAGAGGAATACGATCAAGTGCACCGAGGATGGACTGGCTGTAGACAGGGGTGTTTATTATAGTAACAGGAGGAAGGCAGAGTATGTGTGAAATTGAGTAGGTGAGGCGCTGGGAGTCTGTGGGGGTTCTTGTCTGATTGTTTCAATTTCTCAGTGAAGTGGGAAACAAATCAGGTAGAGTAGTGATTCTCAACCTTAGCTGCGCTACAAGCTGGGGAACTTTTAAAACCACAGATGTCTGGGCCCCACTCCCAGCAAGTTCAAATTTAAGTGTCTGGTCTGGGGCCCGTATACTGGTATTTTTAAGTTTCCCAAGTGGTTTTGTGCTGCTGAGGTTAAGAACCACTGGAAAGCGATAGCTAATAATAGAGGACTTTCTGAGAAGATGGCATAAGCAAAGACCTGAGGGATGAGAAAAAGCAGCTCACGGAAGCACGTTCTAGGAAGAGGGAAGAGCATGTGCAACGGCTCTAAAAAGGGGAAGAGAATGTGGCTAGACTGTGGTGAGCAAGGGGGAGACAGATAAAGATGAGGTCAGGGAGTAGCCATGGGTCTAATTGTACAAGGTCTTGCAGCCCATGGTAAGGAATTTGGATTTATCCTAAGTGCAAATGGGAAGTTATTGCAGAGTTTCATGCAGGGGAGTGAAATGACCTCATCTGTAGTTTTGAAAGAGCTCTCTGGGGCAGTGGGAGAATGGATGAGGGAGGGAGGGCAAGCATGGAAACAGGTGACAGGCAGTTCAGTCTCCCAGTGAGAACTGATGGGAACTTGGTACAGGGAAAGAAAGTCAAGAACTTTTTGGAGAAAGAACCAATAATTTTGATTATTGATTAGATGTGGGCTCCTGTGGCAGGGAACCATCTACACACCCCTCCCCAACCTTTCTACCAAGTAATACTAATGGCAGAGGAGAGGGACTGAAATTTTCCAAATGAAGAGTCCAAGTGTGCTGGGGGAAGAAGCTCCAGGCTAATCTTTTGGGTTCCCAACCTCCCTATTCCCCTGTTTGGAAAGCAGATCCAGTGTCTGCCAGGCATTCTATTAGGAGCTGTGGGTGGGGATGTCCAAGGAGCTGGGTCTAATGTGTGCTCCTCTCTGTCTTGGCCTCCACAAGGCTCAGCAGGCAAGATCTAGAGGCACGGGAGGATGCTGGCTATGCCAGCCTTGAGCTGCCCGGGGACTCCACCCTCTCGCTGCCCACCCTGGACACAGCGGAGAACAGCGATGACCTCATTTCACCCTATGCCAGCTTCTCCTCCACGGCAGACCGCCCCACACCTCTGCTCAGTGGCTGGCTAGACAAGCTCTCCCCTCAGGGGTGGGGCTGCTGGGAAGGGAAAGGGAGGGAGGGCAGGGAGGCTGGGCAGTGGGGGGGCTCAGGTCTCAAGTACCCCCAGATCCTTGGAGCCCCCCAGATGCAGCCCCCACCATGCACTGACCTTGGCCGCTCCCTTCCCCAGAAACTACGTCTTTCAGAGGCGCTTTGTGCAGTTCAACGGGAGGAGTCTGATGTACTTCGGCAGCGATAAGGTGGGGATCAAGGACATGCCACATAGGGTGGGGGGAGAGGCAGAGGGAGGGTTGAGAGGGTTCAAGATTGGAAGGATGGTGGGGGGGCACCACATGACTGATGTCCGCAACTAAAGTAGCGAGGTTAGCAGTGTACCCCACTGCTCGTGGAATGAGTGCTGATCTCATTAAAAGTTAGTGCTGGCCCAAGTTCCTGTCCCCATGGGTCATTGGGCTGTCTCTCCAGGACCCCTTCCCCAAGGGGGTGATCCCTCTGACTGCCATTGAGATGACACGTGGCAGCAAGGACAACAAGTTCCAGGTCATCACCGGCCAGAGGGTGTTTGTGTTCCGCACAGAGAGCGAGGGTGAGGGCTAGGGTCCCCTGGGTCAGGGTGGGGGCAAGGAGGTTGTGTGAGCACACAGCCTGCCGACCTGCTTCCCTGTTCCCCACCAGCTCAGCGGGACACATGGTGCTCTACACTACAATCCTGCCTGAAGGAGCAGCGCCTCCTGGGCAACCCCCGGCCCCCCCAGCCGCCCCGACCCCTCCGCACGGGCATGCTGGAGCTGCGCGGACACAAGGCCAAGGTGTTTGCTGCCTTGAGCCCTGGAGAGCTGGCACTGTACAAGAGTGAGCAGGTGAGGAGGGCTGGGCTGGGGCCGAGGGGCCTGGCCTAGCCCATTCTGGCCTCACTGTGCCTACCCCCGACCCTGCCAGGCCTTCTCTCTGGGCATCGGGATCTGCTTCATTGAACTGCAAGGCTGCAGTGTCCGGGAGACCAAGAGTCGCAGCTTTGACCTGCTCACACCCCATCGCTGCTTCAGGTGGGGCCCAGACTGGCAGGAGGCAAGGCTTGGGGAGAGACTCTTGAGGGAGGCACAGGGCTGCAGAGGACTAGAGGCCTCCTCAGTAGGATGTCAGTGGGTGTGCATGGATGGGACGCCACTGAGCAGGGTCAAGGATGTCAGGAGGGTCTGGGATGGCCCAGGTGTGGCCTTGGTGACTCCTGCAGGAATGGCTAGTGGGATGGGACAGGTAGGGGGTGTGTCCATGCCCACGGCCTGGCTGTCCACCCCTCAGCTTCACGGCCGAGTCTGGGGGGGCTCGGCAGAGCTGGGCAGCTGCTCTGCAGGAAGCAGTAACCGAGACCCTGTCTGACTACGAGGTGGCTGAGAAGATCTGGTCCAATCGGGCAAACCGGCACTGTGCGGACTGTGGGGCCTCCCGCCCAGACTGGGCTGCTGTCAACCTGGGGGTGGTCATCTGCAAGCAGTGTGCAGGTGAGGGCTAGACCTTCAGGTGACACGGGGAGCGGGAGAGGGACTGGGGCGGGGGGCTGAGGTACCCATGCCATATGCGCCTCACACCCTAACAGGTCAGCACCGTGCTCTGGGTTCTGGTATCTCCAAGGTGCAGAGCCTGAAGCTGGACACAAGTGTCTGGAGTAATGAGATAGTGCAGGTAAGGAGTCTGAAGAGGGAGAAAGTGGGGGGATGGAAGGAGAGCACCCAAAAGAAGGCCTTGGGTCCAGCTTGGGGACAGGATTGGAATGTCTGGAAACTCTTGAGTTCCTGTCACTGGCCTCTGCCCCTTCTTGCTGCAGTTGTTCATTGTCCTGGGAAATGATCGCGCCAACCGCTTCTGGGCAGGGGCACTACCCCCAGGTGAGGGGCTGCATCCAGATACAACCCCTGGCCCCCGGGGAGAGTTCATCTCCCGGAAATACCGGCTGGGTCTCTTCCGGAAGCCCCATCCTCTGTATCCAGATCATAGCCAGCTTCTCCAGGTAGGAGGGACAGGTTGGGGTTGATGGTAGGGAGAAGCAGTCTCTGAGTTGAAGTGCTTAGACTTGGGGCAGGGGGCTATTTTGGTGACCACAGGACTGTCTCCAAAAGTCCCGGGGCTGACGGAGACTCTTCCCTCCCTGCAGGCACTGTGTGCGGCTGTGGCAGGACCCAACCTGCTGAAGAACATGACCCAGCTCCTCTGTGTTGATGGTGAGGAGTCCTGGTCCCCCTCAGCCCTTGATGGCAGCTTCCCTGGTCTCCTGCCCCCAGGTAATCCCCGCACATGCCTCCTCTCTCTTCCTCAAGAATTCTCAGCCCCAACCTGTGCCCTGGTTCTTCCAGGGATGCAAATTACCCCCCACCCAGCCCATCTCAATGGCCCGGCCTGGGAGGTTTCCCAACCCTCTGGGGCCAATTTCCTGATGTCATGAAATAACTAACGACGATCACTGCCTGGGGTAGATCTGGATGTTTGAGGTGTTGGTGCTGATCTGCCCATGACAGGGTCAACCTCTAGGCCAGGTTGCATCTCCCTGGGGGCAGTCTGATCATAGAGATGGTCATCTTAAAGAGGGTGGTCTCCAGGAGTCAGGCCAAAGGGCCTGAGACACTTACAGGAAGGCCCATGCTCTGAGGCCCCCACCAGAAGCTGACTGGCCCATTGGCCAGCTGGTAGGGAGAGGCAGTGGGCAAGGGCTGGGTTAGGGGCCTCATCTCACCCTCTTTTCTAATATGGGTAGTGAGGGGTCCAGCCCCACTGGCTCTACCTGGCCATGCTGCCAGTGGAGTTGAGTCCCACTGTCTTCCTCGATTCGATCTCTTCCCCAAGGGGTTTGGGCTATCGCATTGCACTGGCCTGTCCTGACCACTTCTCCTTCCCCTTGCAGACCCCTCCCCTGGTGTGTACAATGAAGTGGTGGTGCCTGCCACTTATAGCAGCTTCCTGTACTGTGGTCCCATCAGCAACAAAGCTGGACCTCCACCCCCTCGCAGGGGCCGGGATGGTAAGGAGGGAGCCAAGGGATGGGAAAAGACAGGGTTAGAAACTGGGATGGGAGTGAATGTACCGCAGAGGGACAGGGAGGAGAGGGCTGGCATGGAAAAGTGGGGCCATGCCCTGGGGTGGGCTGGATGCAGGGGGTAAAAGAGGGACCATGCCAGGTGGCAGCTATGGATGATAGTTAAGACCCTGTGCTTTGGGGCTGGCCCCGTGGCCAAGTGGTTAAGTTCTCGCGCTCCGCTGCAGGCGGCCCAGTGTTTCGTTGGTTCAAATCCTGGGCGCGGACATGGCACTGCTCATCAAACCACGCTGAGGCAGCGTCCCACGTGCCACAACTAGAAGGACCCACAATGAAGAATATACAACTATGTACCGGGGGGCTTTGGGGAGAAAAAAAGAAAGAAAAAAAAAGAGCTTGTGCTTTGAGGCCAGACTGTTGGGGTCAAATCCCAGCTCTGTTACTTCCTACCCATGTGACTTGGGTAAGCTACTCAAACTCTGAGCTTTCCCCATCTGCAAGACAGGAGTGAATATAATACTCACCTCATAGAATTGTTGTGAAGATTACATGAGATCATACATAGGCAGAGGACTTGGCATAGATAAATATCTGATAATGGGAATTTGGACAGTGGGGACAGAGATCTTCTGCCTGTTGACCATCCCTTTCCCCCTTAGCTCCCCCCCGAATGTGGTGTGTGCTGGGAGCGGCTCTGGAAATGTTTGTGTCAGAAAGCAGCCCTGAACCCCTCAGCCTCATCCAGCCCCAGGATGTTGTATGTTTGGGTGTGAGCCCTCCACCTGCTGACCCAGGTGACCTCGACAGGTAACAGCCCCCAAGCTCACTGAGCTCCCCCTTTTTCTTTCCTGATCTCAACTCAGAAGCCCCCTCATTGGCCCTCATTGTCCTCCCTGACCTCACCTTCTCTCCAGGTTCCCCTTTTCCTTTGAGCTCATCCTCACTGGAGGGAGGATCCAGCATTTTGGCACAGATGGAGCTGACAGTCTGGAGGCCTGGATCAGTGCCCTGGGCAAGGTGAGAGAGCCGAGACCCCTCCCTGACAGCTCAGGGTTCCCTGTCCCCACTAGCCCCCATCCTGTCTTATCTTATTCCTACAGTCACTCCCACCCCTTCCACTAACAGCTAAGGTTGACTGAGTACTTATTTTATGCCAGGCCCTGTGTTGAGCACTGCCCACTCAATATCTCATTTCATTTTTACAGCCCTCAGAGGTAAGGATTAGTAATATTTCACACATAAAGAAACTGAGTCTCGGAGGTTATGAAGTCACTTGGTCAAGGTCACAGAGCTAGGAGGCAGCAGAGCACAGGACCAAAAATCAGGCCTCTTTCGCCAAAGCTCAAGGCCCAAACCTCACTGTGCTGGGTCTCTTCCCACAGAGAGGCTGCCTCTGACTCCCACTACCCAACCCCCCAGTTCTCCAGGTCCAGAGGCAAAGCTGCCTTCATCTGTCCCAGCTTCTCCATTCCCAGGCAAGCCAGTCTCTCTCCATCCTGCACCCTCTCCCTGGAATTAAAAGTTCAGGCCCTGGAGTCAGATATCCTGGGATTTGAGTCCTCCAACTCTCTGCCTTGTGAGCTTTTCCATATGGGTAGAGTGGGTGTAAAAGACCCACCCCCTAGGGCTGAGGATCAAGTGACATGTGAGGCCCACACTGCCTGGCACACAGCAAGCCCTCCATCTGTGGGTGTTGAAATAGTAATTGTGATGATGATGACAGTCACTCTCATCCTTAAACAGCTTTTCCCTCAGCCCTGCTCCACCTTCAGCTCATCACCCTGGCGCCCTCCCGACAACTTCTCAGAAAGTCGTGTGCCCTGGCAGCCTGCAGTTCCTCCTTCCCCCTTGCAGCTGCCCTCCTCTGCTGTGCTCTTCTGAGCTGCTACCCTGCGGGTGGCCAGTGACTTCCCATCTCTGCAGCATCTGACACTCCTCTGTAGGAAATGCTCAACTCCTCTGGCTTCTGACCTCACTCTCCTGGTTCTCCCATAACTCCTCACACCAAGAAATTGTCTCCATATCCTTTAAGGGCTCTATCGTGGCCTCCCCAGCCGGGTCCAAGTCTCCTCTTATTCCTTCCCCAACATCTAGCCCATCCTTTAAGGCAGTGCTGCCCAAAGTGTGGTCTGCTGACTGTGACACCATACTGGCCCGTGGACTCTTTGTCATGGCCGGTGACAGGATCAGTACAGAAGTTGACAGTCAGCATTTAGAATCTTTCATAGCAATTTGACAGTGATCTCGTGTGGAATCTAACTATAAAAATTGGGGGCTTATATTATGTATGTCTTTCTTTTTTTCATTTCATTTTTCTAGTAATTCATTTTTATTGGTTTTTATATTAGTTAGTGACAGATTGGAAGTTTTTTTTAAAAAAAAAAGAAAAGAAAAAACTCCCTGTTCCATGACCACAGGTGGTTTGAGAAGTATTTCTTTGAGGTCCATCTCAAACACTCCATTCTCGGTGAAGCCTCTCCTCGCCTCCCTCTGGTGGTGGGACCTCCCAGGGCATCATGATGCTTCGGTTATAGCATTTTGGTTACCCGTTCTTTCCCACCCCTACATCCCAACTAAGGGCATGAGGCTGCCACACAGGGGTCTTCTCTGTGTTGGCTGGAGCAAATTGAATTTAATTTTCTTCCTGTCTTTTTCCGTCATCTCTTGTCTTTTCCTTGGGTCTTTCCTTTGCTCTCTCCCCATCCCTTTTCATTCCTCTTTCTTCTGCTTTCTCTTCATGTCTTTCACTGCCCTTCTCTGTCCCTCTCACTCTTATGTCTCTCCCCCACCTCTTGTCTCTTTCCCCGTCCTCCTCTCTATGTCCTCATCCTCCTCACAGTGGTTCTCCCCGCTGAGCTGTCACCAGCTGTTGGGCCCCGGGCTGCTTCGGCTGGGCCGCCTGTGGCTGCGGTCCCCATCTCATACAGCCCTGGCCCCTGGCCTCTGGCTGTCAGGGTTCGGACTTCTTCGTGGTGACCACCTCTTCCTGTGTCCGGCACCGGGTCCTGGCCCCCCAGCCCCTGAGGACATGGTGCATCTGCGGCGGCTACAGGAGATCAGTGAGCAGGGGTGGGGACTTGGACAAAGGGTGGCCATGGTAGGGGGTCGTGGACCTTCATCTATTTGGGGGTCCCTATGGGAAACAGCAGAACACAGAGGATTCCGGCACAAGCTCTGGAATCATACTGCCCAGTTTTAGATCTCCAGTTCCATCACTTCCTAGCTGTAAATTTGGACAAGTTACTTAACCTCTCTGTGCCTTAGTTTCCTCATCTTTACAATGGGCACAATAATAGAGTTGTAGTGAGTTCCAAATAAGGCAATACGTGTAAAACACTTATCACAGAGCCTGGAAGGAGGCATCTTGTAAGTGTTCAATAAATGTTATATGTTATAAATGTTATTGTTGTTATCATTATTTGGAGTCACTTGCTGGTTGGGGACTGAGAGAGGGGCCTGGGTATTCTCACTTCCTCCTAAAAGAGGAACAGTGTAGGATAATGTTCCTAGGGCTTTGGAGACAAGAGACCTGAGTTCAAGGTCAGCTCTGTCATTTTATAGCAAGTAATCTGAGGCAAGTTATTTAACCTTCTGAGCTTTAATGTGTCACCTGTAAAATGGGGATAATAGTAGGTACTTCATAGGATTTAATGCAGCATTTTTCGTAAGGCTCCTAGCCTGGCACCTACATACCTTAAATACTTAATAAATATTCGTTACTATGATGAAGACAATGATGATGATAATGTCCGATGATTCTCCTCCCAGGTGTGGTCTCGGCAGCTGACACCCCAGACAAGAAGGAGCATTTGGTCCTGGTGGAAACAGGAAGGTAAGTGCTGCCACTGCCTTTGACCCTAGGCCAGCCTTTCTAGAGCCCAGCCCACATCCTCCACCTTGGCCTGCTGGACCACTGCCCACTTCCTCAAAGTCACTTCCCTAGTTCAGGGGCCCCTCTGGGTTGGGTGTTGCTGCCCTCTGCTGGTGGCTCTGAGATGTGTGGTTCTTGTGATCCTGGGAGCCGGCTCTGACTCAGGCTTCCTGGGTCTCAGGACCCTGTATCTGCAGGGGGAGGGCCGGCTGGACTTCTCAGCGTGGAGTACGGCCATTGAAGGGGCAGCTGGTGGGGGCGGCACAGGGCTGCAGGAGCAGCAGATGAGCCGGGGTGACATCCCCATTATCGTTGATGCCTGCATCAGTTTTGTCACCCAGCATGGTGAGTGGGTACTGGCCAATACTGAGCCAGTGGGGGATGGGGAACATGAATGCAGCCAAGGGGGTGATCTCCCTGCAAGACCTTTGCCTCCAGAGACTGCAGCCTGAGGGCAACTGGCTGTATGACCCTTGGCAAGCTGCTTTACCATTCTGAGCCTCAGTTCCTCATCTGTAAGATGGGGCTATTAACAGTCCTCATCTTCCAGGATAGTTGTGATAATAAGATAACACATGTAAAGCATTTAGCGCAGGACCTGGCAGGTAGTAAGTGTTCCAGGGTAGCAGTTACTGGGGCGTGGGCATGGAGAGAGCATGGCACTGCAATGTGACTGGAGATGTCGAGCCGTAGAGAACAAAGAGGGGGCAGCCACGAGGCCAGAGCCAAGCTGTGCAGCCACATCCTTGAAGGTTTCAGCACAATTATTCTGTGTGGGAGGTTTTCAAGGCATAAAGGATCAGCTATGCAAGTGGCTCTCAGAATTCTTTGTGAGTTTTTGACCTCTGCTTTATTCTCCAGCCTCAGTAAGGATCAAGTGGATTCTATCTCCCCAGCAAACCCCCATTAGAAGGCTGGACTCTTGGGAAGGAAAATTCACACAACACTAAGGAGGGGAGTAAGGGGGAAAAGGCACATCCACGAACCTACAAATAGCTGTGCTTACAACCTGGACACTGTGTAGTCAGGGGCTCATGACAGTCTCCACGCCTTGGCAGTAGCCTCCTGCAGTGACTTCCCCACTCACTAGACCTCTGCCCTTTCTCAGCCTCCCTCGTGTTCAGAGGAGGAATGAAGTCAGAGGCCCAGGGAAAAGCCCTGGAGGAAGAGTATGGGTGTTCATACCCGCTCCTCCACAGTCCTCGCACCACTACCCTTCATTCAACAGATATTTACTGAGCTGCTCCCATGTGCCAGACTCGAGGGATATGGCAATGAACAGGAAGGTTCTATGAAGCTCAGAGACTAGTGGGAGAGATGGGTAATAAATAAGAAAACAAGTTCGGTCCTCATTATTCGTGGTAGTTCTATTCTATAAGGCCACTGCAATCACTGAATCAATGCATACTAAATCGTTGCCCCTGTGGAAATACAGGGTTAGGTTCTTGGAACCCTCTGATCGCATTTTCATCCACTGATCAATACATAATCTTATTTTATGTGTGTTTCTGTTTAAAGACACTTTATTTAATATATATTGTTGATTCATTAACTTTGAACCCGCAGCCAGCAGCACTGTAACTCACGCCTGAAAGACGCTTATTTGACATACGTATTTTCCCCATAAGGCACGTCACAGCCTTCTTGTTCTTAGGAACATTAGACAGCACTTCAGCGCTACATTTGTGGGCCATTTTAAACAGTGAAATCACCAAAAAAAGCACAAGAATACAAAAAATGTGGCTGTAAATCTGAAAAGAACATTTGTTTACCGTATGAGGCCTTAGCTGGGAACATGTCCATCAGGCAATTCAAATTTTTCTCTGCTCTGTGCCTGTTCACACATGACTGAAAAAGTGCCACACACATTGATTTTAGCAAGTAGGTGAATTTGCAAATATGATGATCTGCAAATAAGGAGGACCTGTAAGGTGTTTTCAGAGAGTGCTATTTAAAAGTAAAAGAGGTGAAGAGTGATGGGGGCTGCTGTGAGTGACGGGGCTGTGAGGGATGCACAGTCTGAAGATGAGGACTTGAGCAGGGACCTGAGAAGCAAGACCATGGAGGAAGATTTCCTTCTCTCTGACCCCTCTACCCCCCAGTAGCCACATACCATGTCGGGGGGTCATGGGTGGGATGCTGGGCAGGTGGTGGGAGTCTTTGGGTAGTGGTGAGCTGATATGCTGGCTGTTCTCAGGGCTCCGGCTGGAGGGCGTATACCGGAAAGGGGGCGCCCGTGCCCGCAGCCTGCGGCTCCTGGCGGACTTCCGGCGGGATGCCCGGTCAGTGAAGCTCCGACCAGGGGAGCACTTTGTGGAGGATGTCACTGACACCCTCAAACGCTTCTTTCGAGAGCTCGATGACCCTGTGACCTCTGCACGGTTGCTGCCTCGCTGGAGGGAGGCTGCCGGTACTCCCAAGATCCCTAAGAACTCCTCACAGGCAACCAAGGCCCACCCAGGAACCCCACCCACCCCAACAGAATCCCTGAAGCTCTCATGTGGGATTGGGCAGCCCCTCTCCCCAGCATTCCCACCCCCCACTCTCCCTGCGAGGATCCCCAGGGACTTAGTTCAGGGAAGGTGGGAAGGGGGCAGAGACCCGTCCATCCTGGGTTTTTTCCTCTAAAAATCGCCCCACCCTCCCTTCTCCAATCCTCTCCAACCCTCCCCCATTCCACCCCAGAGCTGCCCCAGAAGAATCAGAGGCTGGAGAAATACAAAGAAGTGATTGGCTGCCTGCCGAGGGTCAACCGCCGCACATTGGCCACCCTCATCGGGCATCTCTATCGGTCAGTACAGCCAGGCCTCTTGCAGGCTCCCTCACTGACCCTTCATCACCTCTGTCCAACTCCTGTGCTTGCATTCATTCATTCACCCCACAGACAGTTTTTAAGTGAAGGTGTCATAGCATAAAGATTCACAGTGAGGGCTTTGGGGTCAGACAGACCTAGGCCTTGATCTGGCTCCACTAGTCTAGCGTGTGACTTTGGATAAGTTCTTTGCTCTCTCTGAGCCTCAGTTTCCTTATTTGAAAGAGGAAGATGGTGTAATGAATAGTACCCACCTCATAGGTTACATGAAAGTTAAATCAGATAATCCTTGTGAAATTCTTACTACAGCACCTGGTACGGATGTAGTCAGCATTCAGAAATAGCGAGCAATCAATATTATTTCATTTTATTATCCTATGCCAGGCAAAGGATTCGATGTAGGAGACACAGAAGAATAAGATGCACATCCTCCTTAACCAGTCTGCTGGGGAGACGGGTCTCCAAGTGATTCTGGGGGGAAGCCCGGCTATGCTGTACTGATTATACCCTGTCACAGGGGCTGGCCAATGATGGCCTGTGGGCCAAATCCAGCCCTTGCTTGTTTTTGCAAATGAAGTGTTATACATAAAATGTAAAGCCATGCCCATTCATTTAGATATTTTCTATGGCTCCTTTCATACTATAACAGCAGAGCTGAGGAGTTATGACAGACACTGTATGGCCTGCAAGCCTAAAATGTTTACTATTTGTCCCTTTACCTAAAAAGTTTGCTGACCCCTACTCTATTTAAAATCACCCTCTGCTCATCTGTCTCTCCCCTGGATTGGGAGCTCCTTGAGGCTTGTGTCTCACTCACTGCTGTATCCCAAGGGCTTAGCCCAGGGCCTGGCATACGGTAGGGCTTGGTAAGTGTTTACTGAATGAATGGATGGGTTGATGAACGGGTGAGCACAAACTGCATTCCTCATGCCCTTCACACCCCTCTGCAGGGTGCAGAAGTGTGCGGCTCTAAACCAGATGTGCACGAGGAACCTGGCCTTGCTGTTTGCACCTAGCGTGTTCCAGACAGACGGGCGAGGGGAGCACGAGGTGCGGGTGCTGCAGGAGCTCATCGACGGCTACATCTCTGTCTTTGATGTAAGCTCTCGTGACCACGGACCTACAGTCCCTCTTCCTGGACTCTGGATCCTGCTCACCTCTGCATCAGAAACTATCTCCCAGAGCCCTGGGCCCCTCCCTCCCATAACTTTGCTCCTAGCATCCTTGCCCCACTGGTTCTTAGCTCTTCTGGCCTCAAACCCTCTCATACGGGTGCTCTGATCTTGCATATCTCTCCCTGCTTCCCTCCTTTCCTAGCACTCCCACCCCGCACCCCCGACGCGCACCCACACACGCCCTCTTGGCTCTTCCACAGATCGACTCTGACCAGGTAGCTCAGATTGACTTGGAGGTCAGTCTTATCACCACCTGGAAGGATGTGCAGGTAACTTGTCCTGACTCCAGACTCCTGAGTGGGCCAGCAGGGGACATCAAGATAGGAAGCTGACCTTCTGCTTCTGGACACTGGCCCTCAGCTTTCTGGGACACAGGAGAAACCCAAGGAGGGGAATGTTTGGGGGAGGGGGCTTTGGTTTAAGATTTGCTCCATTTATTCCACCATGAGGATTTGTCATCACCAAATGGTAGCAGACAACCTCAGTTCCACATGTAAGCCATCCAAGGAAGAGTTAGCTAAGGCAGACAGCGAGGTGAGATTACTGTAATCATACTAAATACAGTGGCAGACGGCTGAGGACTCATTACAGTCCGAGCACCTGTCTTCTCACGTTAGCAGCACATAACTCCAGGAAGGAGGTAGTCCCAGTTTTTTCAAATAAAGAAACTGAGTCTTGGAGGGTCACTTATTCAAGGTCATTCTGTAGTGAGGGCAGAGTTGGAGCCCAGACAGTCTGACTCCAAACCTGACCCCCAAGCAGTAAGCTGCTCTGCCTTGGGAAGCACCTGTGCAGCCTTGGGGTCCCACCGGTCCTGGAGTTCTCCCTTTTAAGGGCCTGAGCGACCTTAGGGGTGAGGGTTGGGAGGAGACTTCTGTGTGGGGGAAGCATTTATGAGGCAACATGAGGAGTCCTCTGACCTTGACTCTTTGCATCCTCTGTGTCCTCCTGACTTCTTTACCCCTCCCCTCAGCTGTCCCAGGCTGGAGACCTCATCATGGAGGTTTACATAGAGCAACAGCTCCCAGACAACTGTGTCACCCTGAAGGTCAGTCCTGAGGGGACAGGAGCAGAGATGGGAGGATGGAGGGCAGGGTTAATGGCCTGATTGGCATGAGTTCTCTGCTTTTGCCCTGACCCCAGGTGTCCCCAACACTGACTGCCGAGGAGCTGACTAACCAGGTACTGGAGATGCGGGGGACAGCCGCTGGGACAGACTTGTGGATGACATTTGAGATTCTTGAGCATGGGGAGCTTGGTAAGTATGACTGTGTGTGTGTACATGTGGTGGGGGGTCAAAGTCACCAATGACAAATACAGTAGACACTGTCCTCATGTGAGGACGTTGCATGTGAGTGGACATTCCACACAGTTGGCCACTCCCTCTTTTTCAATACTCTCTCTTCTCTTGGCTTTCATGGACCCTACAAACCCTTGGTTTCCCTTCCACCTCACAGGAGGCTTCTCTTCCTCTTTTGCCCAGATTCCAAATGTTGGAGGGACCCAGGGCTCAAATCCTGGATGCTTTTCTTTTCTCTGTCTACATTTCTCCTTGGATGAGCTCATCCATTCCCATGGCTTTAAACGTCATTAATAAGCTGGCCACCAGATTTTTATCTCTGGCCCAGACTTCTACTCTGAATTCCAGGCTCACATATCCAAGTGCCTACTTGACACCTCCACTTGTACATCTCATGAGCATCTCAAATTTAAAACGTCTAAGACCAAACTCAATTCCCAACCTCCTCCCCTAACAAAAAGCCCAGGCCATTTCCTAGTTTTTCCTAACTCAGTCAATGGCACCACCATTCACCCAGTTATCAAGGCCAGAAACTTGCGAGTCCTCTAGGACTCCTCTCTTTCCTTCATCTTCATACCCAACCCAACCAACTAGTCCTGTAGATTCTATTGGAATCTATCACTTCTCTCCATCTCCACCATTGCCACCACCCTGGTCAAAGTCACCATTATCTTTCTGATCCCCAACGTCAACCACTAAAATATTCGGTCCCAGAAAGAGAATAGTTGGCCAGTGTTCCATTCTTGCCTTCTGACAGTCCATTTTCCCCACAGCAGCCAAATGAACATTTCAAGCAGAAATCAGATCGTGCCATTCCCATGGTTAAAACCTTTCATGGCTTCTCATTGGACTTAAAATAAAATTCCTTGTTATGGCCCACAAGACCCTGAATGTCTGGCCCTTGCTGATTTCTTGGACCTCATCTCGCATAACTCATTCTCTTTGCTCCAGCCACTCTGGCTGTTTAGTTCCTCAACCACATCTTACCTAACTTAGGGCCTTTGTTCTTGCATCTTGTCATACCTGAAATCTTCTTCCTTCTGATCTTAGCATGGCTTGTTCTTCCTAATCCTTCAGGCCTCTAAGTCTCATCTCCAAATGCCTCCTCTGAAAGGCCTCCCCTGATCACCCTATCTCAGTAACTGCCATTATTCTCTCTCAGCTTCTTATTGTTTCTTAATTATTTGTCTTTAATTATCTTGTTGACTTCTCTGTTACTCTCTGCTTCCTGACTAGGCTGCGGGCTATGTGAAGGCAGGCCCTGTGTTTGATGCTCACCACTGTACCCCAAGGGCCAGCACAGTACCTGGCAGAGAGTCAGTGCTAAAGTAAATGTCTGTGGCTAGATGGTGGAATGGATGAATGAATGAATGGCTGGTGGGAGAGCAATTGGGGGCTCCAGGCTGTGGATTTCTATTTGATACCCACCCCCACCTTGCTTCTTAGAGCGGCCTCTGCACCCCAAGGAAAGGGTCCTAGAGCAGGCCCTACAATGGTGCCAGCTCCCAGAGCCCTGCTCAGCCTCCCTGCTCCTGAGAAAAGTCTCCCTGGCCCAGGCCGGGTGCCTCTTCACAGGTGAGCTTCCTTCTTCAGCCCAGCACCCACACCCCCAGCTTCTCCCCCAGGACGCTCCACCTAGCACTGCCCATTTATGCCAGGTATCCGGCGAGAGAGCCCGAGGGTGGGGCTGTTGCGGTGTCGGGAGGAGCCACCCCGTTTGCTGGGAAACCGCTTCCAGGAGCGGTTCTTTCTGGTGCGTGGCCGCTGCCTGCTGCTGCTCAAGGAGAAGAAGGTGGGGCTCTGTGGCCAGCGGGAGGGATGCTGGGGGGCTGTGTGGGAGGAGCCATGACTGCACAGACCCTCTCGCTCCACAGCCCATACTCTCATCAATCTCATTGCTTTCCTGGCCCTTTGACCTTAGTGAGAAGTCAAATGCTTCCCTGACTTCACGACCTCATTAAACGTGATCCTTCTCTCACCTCTCAACCTCACTGACTCCCTTCATGTTCTCAGAGCTCTAAACCAGAACGGGAGTGGCCTTTGGAAGGTGCTAAGGTCTACCTCGGAATCCGCAAGAAATTAAAGCCTCCGACACCGTGAGTTTTCTTCCCCAGCCCACACTTCTAGGGCCTTCCTGCCATCACCCCTCTGGCCTTTCTGATCACCCCATCACTATTCTCCTGTGCTTCTAGGTGGGGCTTCACGTTGATACTGGAGAAGATGCACCTGTGAGTACCTCCCAGCCTGGCTTTTCCTCTGACCCAACCCTGCTGCCATCCTCTATCTCTTCACTTTTTCTATCCTCCATCCCTCTAGCTGTGACCCCTCCACTCCTGCTAATTCCTCTCTGATCACCCCCAGCTACCTGTCCTGCACTGATGAGGATGAGATGTGGGACTGGACCACGAGCATCCTCAAAGCTCAGGTGAGTGGAAGGAGAGGGCTGAGGGTTAGGTCTGTGGTCCCAGCTCTACCCCTCAGCACCTCCCAAACCCTCCTGTGCCAATCCTCACCCTCTCTCCAGCATGACGACCAGCAGCCAGTGGTCTTACGACGCCGATCCTCCTCTGACCTCGCCCGTCAGAAGTTTGGCACCATGCCTTTGCTGCCCATCCGTGGGGATGACAGTGGGGCCACCCTCCTCTCGGCCAATCAGACGCTGGTGAGGTCCCCCTGCCTGCCCCAACCCTCCTGGTCCCTGCCAGTGCCCTTGCCACACTGTAGGAGGGAGTGGTGTGCCTGCCAGCCTGGTGCCCCCCTCTGCCTTCTCTGTGCCCCCACTCCCCACCCCGGCTCCTGTTGCCAGGCCTCACTGTGTCTCTGTGTTTCTCCTCCCCTCACCCCCACCCCACCTCTGCCTAGCGGCGACTTCACAACCGGAGGACCCTGTCCATGTTCTTTGTGAGTACTGTGCCTGCTCCAGCTGTGTGCCTGTCAGCCCTGTGTTCCTCTGTGCTGCCTGAACCTGTGTGCTTTCTGAATTTGTCCTGATGCAGGCCATCAGCGTGTGTGTGTGTGTGTGTGTGAGAGAGAGAGAGAGAGAGAGAGAGGGAGACGAGAGAGAGAAAGAGCAAGTGAGTGAGTGTTCAGGTCAGAAAGAATGAGGAAAATGAGGGATAGTAGGATGTGGTGAGAAAAGGGGGAAGTGACCTCAGGATCTGAGAAATAGAAGCAAAGTGGTTAAGTGAGTGCATTTTGGAGTCAGACAGACCTGGGTTCAAGCCCCAGCTCTACCATTTACTCTCTGTGTGATCTTGGGCAAACTACTTAACCCCTCTGTGCCTCAGTTCATTCACCTGCAGGGTAACCCACTGTACAGTGTTGTTTTGATATCATACATGCAAAGTATTTTGCAGCATCTGGCTGAGAGGACGAGCTCAATAAATGTGAGTGATTAGTAATCTGATAACTCTAATGCTGTGCCTGCTTCCTGCCACCCCATTCCCATCCAGCCAATGAAGTCGTCCCAGGGGTCTGTGGAGGAGCAAGAGGAACTGGAGGAACCTGTGTATGAAGAGCCAGTGTACGAGGAAGTGGGGGCCTTCCCCGAGCTTACCAAGGACACCTCCACCTCCTTTTCCACCATTCGGGAGCGGACAGCCAAGCCAGAGACCTCCCTTGCCAGCCAGAGGTCCTTTGATCAACCCCTTCTCTCCAAGCCAGGCACCCTGGGCCAGGAGGAGAGGCCACCTGAGCCCCCTCCAGGCCCCCCTTCCAAAGGCAGCCCCCAGGCACATGGGTCCCTGGAGGAGCAGCTGCTCCAGGAGCTCAGTAGCCTCATCCTGAGGAAGGGAGAAACCACCACAGGCCCGGGCAGCCCCTCCCAGCCCTCCAGCCCCCAGGCCCCAAGCCCCAATGGCCTTGCAACACAGATGCCTGGCTTCCCCACCCAACCTCCCTGCCCTTCCAGTCCACCCTCCAGCCAGCCCCTCACATGACCCTGGGACGAGTCTGAGGGAGTAGGGAACCAAAAGACCCGAGTTCTCAACATGGCAGACATGGCTAGGAGCTTCCTCTGCTCTGGCTGAAAAGACTCCAGAATCCAGTGATAGTGTGGAAGGAGCACAGGACTGAGGGCTCTGGAGGCTGTGTCCTGCCCAGAGAGTGAGCCTCCGCTCACTTATCTGTACCATGAGGTAACTGAAATAAGGAGAGCAGTGAAGTCAGACTGTCTCTCAGAGCTGTAAGCCCCACATATTTCCCGACAATGGCAACTCCTGCTTTATATATTTGATAGGTAGGGGTTCTGTGAGAGAGTTGGGGTTTTAACAGAATGGTTTTACTGCATTAAAGAAAAAAAGGATTTGGAAGCCTAAGATCTGAATGATCTCTAAGTCCATCCTACCCCTATATTCAGGGACTACAGTGGAGTCCTGGAGTGGGGAGGTTGATTGGGGTTGGGAGCTGAGGCAAAGAGGAGCCAAAAGGATGGGTCGTTGTTAATAAATCTTGGAACCAAAAGGCTACCATTCTTTTATTCACTCATACGTTCATCCATTCATTCATTCAACAAATATGTATTAAGTACCAAATTGGTTCCAGGTCCTGGGGATCTAGTATGAACAAAACAGATGGGGCTTCTGCTTTTATGGAGCTTCCACTGTAGAGGGGGAACAGAAAACACGGGCTGGCCCTGTGGCTGAGTGGTTGGGCTCGTATGCTCTACTTTGGCGGCCCAGAGTTTCCCAGGTTCAGATCCTGGGCGTGGACCTAGTGCCGCTCGTCGGGCTGTGCAGGGGCAGGCAGCATCCCACGTGCCACAACTAGAAGGACTCACAACTAAAATACAGAACTATGTACTGGGGGACTTTGGCGAGAAGAAGGAAAAAATAAAATAAAAATAAAATCTTTTTTTTTTTTTTGAGGAAGATTAGCCCTGAGCTAACTACTGCCAATCCTCCTCTTTTTGCTGAGGAAGACTGGCCTTGAGCTAACATCCATGCCCATCTTCCTCTACTTTATACATGGGACACCTACCACAGCATGGCTTTTTGCCAAGCAGTGCCATGTCCGCACCCAGGATGTGAACCGGCGAACCAAGGGCCGCTGAGAAGCAGAAGGTGCGAACTTAACGGCTGTGCCACTGGGCCGGTCCCTAAAAATAAAATCTTCAAAAAAAAAAAGAAAAAAAAGAAAATACCCACAAACGAATTCAGTGCTGTGAAGAAACTAAACCAAAGTGATGTTCTTGAGAGTGATGGTGGAGGTGGCCTTTAGGCTGTGTGGACAGGGGAGGCCTCTGTGAAGAGTTGAAACTTAAGGGTAAGAAGCTAGACGTGTGGCGTGTGCTGGGAGAAGGCGCTTCTGGAGAGGGAAAGCAGCAGGCATGAAGGTTCTGCAGTGGGAAGAGACTTTAGCCTGTTGTGGGAACAGCAAGGAGGCTGGAGTGGCCAAAGCACAGTGAGTGGGGAGCAGAAGAGAACGAGCTGAAGTAGGAAACATCAGCAGGGGCCAGATCATGCGTAGCTTTCTAGGCCATGCTAGGGCATTTGGGTTTTATTCTGAAGCAGTTGAGGAGGTTTAAGGAAAAGAGTGATGAGATCTTATTTCCATTTTTTTTAAAAAAAGAAGATCAATCACTCTGGATGTTTTGTGAACCATGGGTTGCAGCGGGGAAGAGTGGAAGCAAAGAGACCAGATATTAGACCAAGAGACTGCTCATGGGGGCTTGGACTAGGTTGGTGGTTTTGGAAATTGAGGGAAGTGGATCAATGGGAGATATTGTTTTAGAAATAGAAACCTATAGGAACCTATAGGATTTGCTGGTGGATAGAATGTGGGGGTAGGAGAAAGGGCACACTGACTCTGGGTTTCTGACTTTACTAACTGGATGGAGAGTGGTGCCATCTAGTATGTTACCTGGGGGAGGTGACTGGGGCGGGATCATGAGGTTGAAAGGAGAAGTTTTAGAAGTTTGAGGTACCTATCAGATATACAAATGGAAGTGTCATGGGCTGTTACATATGTGAATCTGGCATTCGGGGCCACAGAACACTGCCTTTTCCAAGTCGGGGGTGTGGTGACGGGGGGGGCGTGGGCCAAGGGTAGGTGAGGGGGATGAGGAAAGGGTGCATGGGTCCTCAGCAAGGAGTGCTGGGGCTGATAAATCCTGATGTGCAGAGCCTGAAGGGCAGATCCTAAAGGTGATGGGGGCTTTTGGGGCCGAAAGGTCCTATGCTTATCTCCCACTCGTTGGTACTGTTTAGTTTCCATTGGCCAGGGATGTACCTGTGTTTTCCTCTGAGATTGGTTCCTTCCAGGCTCCGGGCGTCTTTCTCATCCCGGCTCATGCTGGCTTTTCCAGTTCAGTGGGAATTGGGAAAGGTCTGGGACCAGCCTTCTCTCCTTGGTCAGACGCATCTTCGCTCAGGCATCCAGTGACAGATTGAGTTCCTCGCCATTCTTCACTCTTCGCGCCGGAACAGAAGATCTGCATATGTAAATACATGATTAGAAATAATTAGGAGCTGAGTCAGCGGCTCCACTAGAAATAGAACCCAGGCGTCTTGACTCACAAACCTGGGGTTCCCCCACCTCCCAGCGGACGCGGCGTCCAGCCGGCGGCCCCGACCCTTTCCGGGGTATTTGCAGCAATAACAGAGGTTTACGTAGTTTCTCGGCGGCCCCCTGGCGCTTCGCCGCCGGGCGCGCAGTGCGACCAGACGTGGGCGGGGCGAGGGCGGAGCCGGGCCGGGTCCGAGGCGGGGCCTAGTCGTGGGCGGGGCTTCTTCGAGTTCCGGAGTCGAGTTGCTGCCTGGGCTAGAGTGGAGATGCAGCCGCCGCCCCGAAAAGTGAGCTTCATCTGGGAATGGGGACTCCTGGCGGGCTAGGGCAGGGGAGGGGGCTAAGGGGGCACCAGATCCGCAGTGGGGGACAAGGAGTGGGAAAGAGTCAGGGCCCAGCCCAGAAGTAACCGAGGAAACAGCCCAGCCACTCCCTGGCCCCGCCCCCTCACGGCTCCCTGGCTCCCTGCGCGGAGTGTTTTTCGGGTCTCCGCGCGGGAGCGGCGGGGGGGGGGGGGGGGTCTTCATCCTCTTCTTATCCCTATAGGTGAAGCCGGCCCAGGAAGTGAAGCTTCGCTTCCTGGAGCAGCTGAACATCCTTCAGACCCGGCAGCAGAGGGAGGCGGATCTGCTGGAGGACATCAGGTAGCCCTTGACCCCCCCGACTCCCTCCACAAACCCCCACCTTCGCGGTCGCGCGCTGCATCTCTTCTCCGACATACAGCGTCGGGGCGGGGCGGCAGGGGGTGGGGCTGGGGGGCGAGAGACGAAGAGCTTTGCAGCCCATCCGTTCACAGCCCTCAGCCTAGGCCTGCCTCCCCAGATACCAAATAGGAATTATGACCTCTCCCACTCCAACACACACAAACACACGGGGTATCTCCTTCAAACTCGTTGACTCCATACCACTGCTTCCACCTCCACAATCAAGCTTAGGGCAGAATCCCCCCTCCCTCTTCTAGACCTGTTGGAAGGCTGGCGGACACTGTACCCAGGCCCCCCATCAGTCCTCACCTCCAAGCCCACAGATGGTTCTCCATGGGTGGGGAGGATCCCGCTGAGGCTCTGAGCAATGAGGTGAGGTTGTCCTTTGTTGCGGCTGCCCGAGGTGATCTCAAGGACTCTGTCTTCAGTCTCATTCCCTCATGGTGTAGTCACACTTTAGGCCTGGCTTCCCTCTTCCTCCTGCCCAGGCTGAGGAGAGGATTGAGGGTGGGAGAAGGGGACCAAACAGTAACAACACCCCACCCCCTAATCTCCACAGATCCTACAGCAAGCAGAGGGCAGCCATTGAACGAGAGTATGGGCAGGTATGGGATGCCTTTCTCTGGACCTTCCCTTTTGTTCTACACTACCAGCAGTGTCCCTCCACACATACCCCTCTTCTGGTCAAGTGCAAATTTGTAGAGTCAGGCAGATTTGTGTCAAATCTCTGCTGTGCTACTTTTTAGCTTTGTGACCTTGGGAAGTTATTTAGCCATTCTTGGCCTCAGTTTCTTTCTCTATGAAATGGTAATAATAATAATTGTACCTTCATGTAGGGTTGTTGTAAAGATGGAATAAGTTAATGTATGTAAAGCACTTAGCAAAGTGAGTGGCACATAATATGCATCCAGTGAATGGCATTATTATACTTTGATCCCATATTCTCCCAGTTGGGAAGTTTGAAAGGGAACTGGGTCTGTGATGACTTTCCCACCAGGCACTCCAGAAACTGGCTGGGCCATTCCTGAAGAGAGAAGGGCAGCGGAGTGGGGAGATGGACAGCAGGCGAGTCCCATGAAGGAGGGGGGCAAGTGGCCAAGAAGGGACGAGGAGCTCGACCCCAGAACCTATGGGGATGAGGGCCCAGTGGTGGGGGAGGGCACGTGAGCTCGAGGTAGAGCTGACACAGCAGCGGGAGAGAAGCTGACCCGGCAAGGACACTGTGGGTAGGGGGTGGAGGGCATGAGTGATCCTTGTGGCTGAGCTAATGGGCTGATCGATTGATGGGCTCCTAGACGAGGGGGGATGGGAAAGCACTCTGTCTCCCATGGTGTTTGGGGCAGGGCTGGGGGTCTCATGAAGCTTTAGAGTGCTCCCCTCCTCAACATAGACATTCTCTGGGGAGAGGCAGGATGGTGTTTGGTGCCTGGCGCTGCCTGCTGGATGCCACCGTGGCTGGGGGCCAAGCCCGGCTCCAGGCGTCCGACCGATACCGTGACCTGGCAGGGGGCACAGGGCGGAGTGCCAAGGAGCAGGTGCTTAGGAAGGTATGGCTCAGTGGATGGGATGAAGCAAGGGCTGGCTTGGGGCTGGAGGTGGTCTGTGTTAGGACATTGTGTGTCTATACCCCTAGGGAGCGGAGAACCTCCAGAGAGCGCAGGCTGAGGTGCTGCAGTCTGTCAGGGAGCTGAGCCGAAGTCGGAAGCTGTATGGGCAGCGGGAACGCGTGTGGGCCTTGGCACAGGAGAAGGCGGCTGATGTCCAGGCCAGGTGGGGTCATGGGGAGTTAGGAAGCCTGGGTGAGGGTTGGGGTGGAGCCGAGGCACCAAGGCTGGTCCTGACCCCACTCCACTTCCTCTCCTGCACAGGCTGAACCGAAGTGACCATGGGCTCTTCCACACCAGGACCAGCCTCCAGAAACTCAGCACTAAGGTTTGGGGGTTGCAGGCATGAGTAGGAGGCAGGAAAGAGGTGGGCAGAGTAGTTTAGTGCTTTGGAACCCAGGGGCATAAGTCTGAGAGACTGGGTTGAATCGAGGCTCCCCTGCTTCCTAAATGTGTAACCTTGGTTAACTAACTGGATCTCTCTGAGCCTCATTTTCTTCATCTATAAAATGGAAATAGTACTTTTCTTCTTCATTCCTTTAATATGCGTTTATTGAGGACTTCTGTGTATGGGCACTGCTCTAAACATTGGGATGCAGTGGAGAACACTACCAATGGAGTTGCTGCTCTCACAGCCTGATGAGGGGAGACAGATAGTAAATAAACAAATAAATAATTAGAGTAAATGAAAATAAAACAAAGTGCTATGATAAAGGGTAACAGGAGTGTAATTTAGAGAGAAAGCCACTCTGAGCAGGTGGCCTGAGTGTTAAGGAGCCAGCCAAAGATCTAGGGGAAGAACGTTCCAGGGAGAGGAAATGGTGAGTGCAGAGGCTCTGAGTGGGAACTTTGTAGGCTCAGGGAACTGAGAGAAGGCCAGTGTGGCTGGAGCACTGTGAGCAAAGCGCCGAGCACTGTGAAAAGAGGTCAGAGAGGTTGCAGGGGGCACCTTAAGTTGGACCTGGTAGACCACAGTAAGGAGCAGTTGGGATTTTATTTTAAATGTATGCAGATACCGCTAGAGGATTTTGAGCAGGAGTTGTATGTAAAATTTTCAGTGTAGTGCCAGGCATCTCAATAATGTGAGAATCCATTCTGGATCTGGGTTGACCTTGGAAGGACCCCAAGGGTCCAGGGCTCCCTTTTGACACTCTTTTCCCCTCCTAGCTGTCCGCTCAGTCAGCCCAGTACTCCCAGCAGCTGCGAGTGGCCCGCAATGAGTACCTGCTCAACTTGGCAGCCACAAATGCCCACCTTGACCACTACTACCAGGAGGAACTGCCGACCCTGCTCAAGGCCAGTCCCAGCCCAGATACCTGTGCTTCTCAACAACAAGGGGGGAGGGCTTCTCCCTGCTTCCCACCACTATGAGGCTGGGTGGTGCTAGGGAACTAGCCTGCTTAGGGTGGGGAGAAGATGCATACTTGGGTTCTGGTTCTGATTCTGCTTCAAGCTGGCTGCATGACATTGTGCAGGACACTTAACCCCTCTGAACTCCAGATTCCTCATCAGGGATAACCTCTGCTCTACCTACTTTATAAGACTAATGGGGCTCAAGGGAGAGAATGGATGTGAAAGTGCTTTTTAAACTGCTAAGTGCTTTGTACACAAGGGCCTATTATTAGAAGCAATATAATGTCTTATTCCTTCCGTCTTTCCCATACTTCATGCCTATCACCCATCCAAACCTGGACAGAGACACTGCTTTGCAGTAGAGGCCTAGGGGGTGGCCAGGTGTCAGTGTCTTAGGTTTCTCTCCAGGCCCTGGTCAGCGAGCTGTTGGAACACTTGAGGGACCCCCTCACCTTACTGAGCCGCACTGAGCTGGAAGCTGCAGAGACGGCCCTGGAGCATGCCCACCGCGGGGGGCAGGCAACCTCCCAGGTGAGGGCTGTGCCCTGTAAGAGCTCCCCAGAGATCCTTTTTACCTTTCTCCCCTAACACAGACCACCCACTGCATGTCTGCCCTTTTCCTTCTCACCTTTCTTCCACGAGAGGCTGGGGACAGATTTGGAGAGGAAGCCAGTGACTGACTGACTTTTTCCAATCCCCAGGTAAGCTGGGAGGAGGATCTGAAGCTCTTTCTTCAGGAACCTGGAGTATTTTCCCCCACACCACCTCAGCAGTTTCAGCCAGCAGGGACGGATCAGGTGAGACCTCCCTGCTCGTTGGAACCAGGCCAAATGTAAAGGGGACTGTGGTTTAGGCCTCCTCCCCCATTATCTTTGTCCTGATATTGACTTAGCAGCTGTTAAACTGTGGAGAGGGGGTTTCAGAACTCCAGTTCACTGCCCTCCCACCAGGACACAAATTAACACACTTCATTCCACCTTTCTGTCCCTTCAGTGACTATCCTCTTCATTCCACCTCTGTCTCTCCACCCAGATCCCATTCCTGGGACTCTCTATGTCTGTGTGTCCACATGGACGCACCCCTGTGTCCATGGACATAAGTGTGTGCCCCACCTCTTTGTCTCTGTCCCTGGAGGTCAGGACAGAGAGAGGAAAACAAAGAGGGAACTGGAGGGAAGAGGGGTAGAGAAGGAGCAGCATCAGGCCCTCCTCACATTACCCCGGTCATCAGGTGTGTGTCTTGGAGCTGGAGGGGGGCGCAGGAAGCATGCCTGGGGAGAGCAGCCTGGAGAAAGAGGTTCAGCGCTGGACCAGCCGAGCTGCCCGTGACTACAAGATCCAGAACCACGGGCATCGGGTGAGGTGGGGGGTGCAGAGGTCGTGGGTGGGCAAGAAGAGCTGAGAGCTGGGGATCCTGGAGTCACTGGGGATGTCTTGGGACTGCAGGCAGGAGGGGAGGGAAAGACATTTTAAGCCAACAGTGTGGTACAGTGGTTTAGAGCACAGCTTTTGGAGTTAGACCCACCTGGGTACAAATCCTGCTCTGTTACTTCCAGTTATGTAACCGTGAGTAAGGGAGTGACTTAACCTCTCTGGACCTCAGTTTCCTCATCATTAAAGTGGGGCTAATGATAGCACCCTCCTCATAGGGAAGATTAAACGACATAATTCGTGTGAAGCAACTAGCAAAGTGCAGGTCCACAGTAAGTAGTGTCCCCATAGTATCTCCACCCACCCCTGTCCTCTGCCTTCCCAACCAGGTGCTGCAGCGGCTGGAGCAGAGGCGGCAGCAGGCTACGGAGCGAGAGGCTCCAGGCATAGAACAGCGGTTGCAGGAAGTGAGGGAGAGCATCAGGCGGGCACAGGTGAGGTAAAGCCCTGGGGGATAGGGCCACTGAGATCCCACCTCCTCAGGCAACACTCCCCTCCACTCCTCTGTCTCATGACGAGGAGGGGGGAGGCAGGAAGTAGAGAGTGGACGTATTTGGGGAGGCTCCACTCACCTCCCAAAGGCAGGCCCAGCCATAGCCTTGATTGAGCCCTCTTCCCCATGCCAGGTGAGCCAGGTGAAGGGGGCTGCCCGGCTGGCCCTGCTGCAGGGGGCTGGCCTGGATGTGCAGCATTGGCTGAAGCCAGCCATGACCCAGGCTCAGGATGAGGTGGAGCAGGAGCGACGGCTCAGTGAGGCTCGGCTGTCCCAGAGGGACCTCTCTCCCACGGTGAGCCCCCTTCACTGCCTACCCATACACACCCTGGAGGGTAAAACTCCTCAGTGGAAGGCAGACCCTGTAAAGTGGGAATCCCAACAGTACCTAACTCAGAGGATGGTTGTGAGGCGTAAATGAAATCATTTAAGTGTAATTCTTTGCATCGTTTGTAGCATATAGAGTCCTCAACAAACTTTTATAATGAAAATAGGATGCTGGTTATGAACTGAGGTTCTAGGAGCAAGACTGTAAGGGTTCAAGTACCAGCCACTCGCTTACTAGTTGTGTGATCTTGGAAAGTGACTTAACCGTTCTGAGCCTTAGTTTCCTCATAAGTAAAATGAGGTTAATAGTTATGCAAAATAACCCTGGGTTATTATACATCATATGTGACATACATAAGATACTTAGCATTGTGCCTGGCACACAGTAAGCACAAACACTGTGAGTCTGCCGTTATTGGCAGTGTTACCCTGCTCCGTGGTGATTTTGCTTGTGATACATGGTGGACTACCTTGGAGGAGGACTCTGCCTTCTTTAAGGGTGGGATGGAGGAGTGGGAGACACAATGGATGCTTGAGAGCAGGCCCTGCAATGATGTCTGTTCTCTGCCCCCTTCAGGCTGAGGATGCTGAGCTCTCTGACTTTGAGGAATGTGAGGAGACAGGGGAGCTCTTTGAGGAGCCCGCCCCCCCAGCCCTTGCCACCAGGCCCCTCCCCTGTCCGGCACATGTCGTGTTTGGCTATCAGGTGTGAATGGGGGTGGGGACCTCAGATGGGCAGGGATGGGGGACAGCCAAGTCCTGAATCCTTCCTTGTGGGGCCCAGGCAGGGCGTGAGGACGAGCTGACCATCACAGAGGGCGAGTGGCTGGAGGTCATAGAGGAGGGAGATGCTGACGAATGGGTTAAGGTGGGTATGGACCCGGGGCTTTGACCTTGACGGGGGAGAGGGAGGCAGGAGGGACTTCTCTGTGGCCTGCAAGGACCCAGCCAGGCAAAGCTAGAACCCTGTGTGGAGGAGGGCCAGGGCTGTGGACTGCTGAGGCAAGTCTGCTGTCTCTTCACATTGCTGGGTGAGCAGGCTCGGAACCAGCATGGCGAGGTAGGCTTTGTCCCTGAGCGGTATCTCAACTTCCCGGACTTCTCCTTCCCTGAGAGCGGCCATGACAGCGAGAATCCCTCGGGGGCAGAGCCCACAGGTAGGAAAGGGAAATTCTGGGTCAGGGGACCCTAGGTATGGAAAAGAGTTACTGAGTAGTTGTTGCCCTGGGTGTCATGGTCCTGAGCACCACCACCCACCACCTCCCCTCCCCATCTCTCCTGGGCTTCGGCAGCGTTCCTAGCCCGCGCCTTGTACAGCTACGCAGGACAGAGCGCAGAGGAGCTGAGCTTCCCTGAGGGGGCGCTCATCCGCCTGCTGCCCCGGGCCCAGGATGGAGTGGATGACGGCTTCTGGAGGGGAGAATTTGGGGGCCATGTTGGGGTCTTCCCCTCTCTGCTGGTTGAGGAGCTGCTTGGCCCTCCAGGGCCATCTGAACTCTCAGATCCTGAACAGGTGAGGCTTTCTTCTCTCTGGGTCCGCCAGGCATCTCTGGGCTGACCCTCCTACCATAGTGAGGTCCCAGATTCATCTTAATCCCCCCTCCCCTCTCCAGGTTTACCTCCTATAGAGGCTTGAGCCTCCCCATCTCCTTTGGCTGGGTAAAGAAAAGGGAAACTAAGGCAGTCTTCATTAAGAGTTTGGTGGAGAGAGCTGGGTAGATCTGAGTTCAGATTCCTATTGCATTACGTTGGGCAGGCATTTAACCTCTGGGCTTATTTCTTCATGTGTAAAACAGGGATAATAATACTCACTTCTTCAGGCTACCTATTCTGATCAGAGGTAATGGAGGTCAAGCCCTGAGCACAGTGGCCCACAGGAGGTGCTTTCATATAGGGTACCTATTGTTGTAATGCAGCAGGAAGAACAGAGGAGTGAGAGCCAGGAGACCTGGGCCAGGACTCTCCACTAACTGGCTCCATGATTTCGAATAGATGGCTTAACCTGAATCTCATCTCTAACATAGGAATCATAAAAATCCCCACCTCACAGGGTGGTAGTGAGGAATGAATGAATTAGTGCATTTAAAATGCTAGCAGAATGTCTGGGACATAGCAAGTGCCAATACATATTGGCTGTTAAAATGTGTATCAGCTACAACCCACCCAGATACAAGCATTTGGCCACTGTCTGTACTGGGGAGAGATGGGACAGGAATTGAAGATGGGATGAGAGGAAAAGCTGGTGAAACCTTCCTACATGCTAGGAATAACTCTGTGTCCCCCTTATCCCCAGATGCTGCCATCCCCTTCTCCTCCCAGCTTCTCCCCTCCTGCACCCACCTCTGCCTTGGAGGGGCCCCCTGCACCTGTCCTACCTGGGGGTGAGTAGAGGGAATTGGGGGCTCTGGGAGGGGAAGAGACAGGAAGGAGGAGGAAGCTTGGGACTCCTGGGTTACACTTGGCTCTTCTGCCTGCCCTTGGGAACCTCCTCCGTTAGGCTCACTGCAGCATGATGGTGGGAAGAGTTTGGGCTTTGGAGCCAGACCCACTGTTCAGACTCCACTCTGTGACTTCCTAGTGTGTGATTTGGGGTGGGATGTTTAACCTGTCTGGGTCTTTACAAATTGGGAAAGGACCCTACCTCATTGAGTTGTTGTGAGAGTTAAAAAGATGTCTGTAAAGTGTCCAGCATTGTGCCTGGCACAGAGCAAGCATGCAAGTAATAGCTGTTTTCTCATTATTATTATTATTTAAAAAATTAGCTTTTCCCACAGGGTTCCCAATATACTTCCTCTACTCTTAGTGTTCTTGAATCCTGCAAACACCTCAGTATGTGCCATCATTTTCCTTCTTGGAATGTCCCCCTTATCTAAAACCTTCGGGTACTTTGACTTTCTTCACTGAGCCTCCTTCCCTGACCCTGGAGACTCCTTGCATTTTCTGCACCCCCCTCTCCAGCACCCGTAGTTCACTTTGCATGATTTAGCATTCATTCATTCATCATGTTTGTTGGTGTTTCGTTATTGGGCTCCTGACAGCCCCTGGCAGTTGGGCGTGCTGTGGATCAGACCTTCCTTTCTCTGGTACCTTGAACAGGGCTGATTATACAGCAGGTGCCCAATAAGTGTTGAGTAGTGACTGATGGATTGATGGGCCAGGTTGCTGACTATTTCTTAATTCAACAAATATTTAGAGAGTGCCACTGTCCTAAGTGCTGGAGATAACAGCAGTGAACAAAACAGCCTGAAGACTGACTTTTTTCCAGACCAAGACCTGGACTGCCCTGGACCCCTGGACATGATGGCGCCTCGACTCAGGCCGGTAAGGGCCCCTCCTTGAAGGAGATTGTGTGGAGAGGGGTCATTCCAACTGGTCCTGTTTTGTCTGCGGGGCTGAAGGAACGGACTGGGTATCTCCAAGGGAGACCTGTGGAGCACTGACTGTGTGTCCCTACAGATGCGTCCACCGCCTCCCCCACCAGCCAAAGCCCCGGATCCTGGCCACCCAGATCCCCTCACCTGAAGCCAGGGGATCTCTGCCCCCCAGTGATGCTGCCGCCCCTATCTCCACGCTGTCAGAGAACACCCCCTCAATGATCCAGAGTGACACAGCCAAAAGCAGGAATCTTCCCCATTTCCACTCTCACTTCCAGGAGTAGAAACTTCCCCTCTCCCCATTTCTGGGGCTAGAACCCACTCCTTTTCCCCCATCGTGCTCCTGCCATTTCTAGGGCTGGAACTACTCCTTTCTCTTCTGCCACCACCCATCTCTAAGGTGGTGAAATGTCCTGAAATCTCTGGGGCTGGAACCCATCCCTCAAAGTCTTGAGTGGCTCCGGCCCATCTGTGTATGCACCCTGGCTCTGTGTCCCACCCCACTCCAGATGCCAGGGCCACTGGGTTGGGTGCTGGGACAGGGGTGGGCCTGTCAGAAGGAGCTGGAGCCAGTATGCAAAGCAGCTGTAATGGTCTGAGCGGATTTATTGACAGTGAATAAAGGGCACGAAGCCCAAGCCAGAGCCTAGGCCTCTTGTGCCAACAGGGCAGGGGACTAAGGTGCTATTGCTTTAGTGGCCTACCAAGGGCAGGGGCCTACTCCCAGCCGCCATGCTCTAACATATGGAGCTAGGTGATGGGGAAGGTGGGTCAGGTGGCCTGTTGGCAGGCAGGGGATGGGAAGAGACTGAGGGCCGGGCGTGGGGGGAACCTCTCCCGAGGTCCCTCTGCCTGAGACCGTGCAACTCCAGGTGGAAGTAAGGCTGGTCCCTCAGCTGGGGGGCAGGGCTGTCGAGTGGAGAGGAGGGGCTTCATGCCCACCCACCCTGGCCCTGCCAGCTGGTAGTCCATCAGCGCAATGAGAAGGAGGCTTGGAGGAGAGGAAGGGTAACAGTGTTGCCTCCTATTCAAACTGTGTCCCAGCTTTTTCCCAGGGGTTGCAGGACCTTCCCTATTCCCTGGAGCACATGCCCACTCCCCACCACCAAACCAAGGAACTTATAGCAAAGGCTAAGCCTGTAGTTTACCCTGGGTATACAGGGAGCCAATGGGCTCAGGTAGCTTAAGTAGGGGGTGGGAGGATGAAATTATCTGACTTGGGGCCCGGGCAGACTCACCTCACACACCCCCTGCTCCCCGTGGTGGGGACACCTGAGAGAGAGAGGAGGGGTCAACAGTAGGAAAACAGGACATGGGTTATATTAGTGCCCCCAAGAGTAGGGGACAATAAGAGCTGAGCACACCACAGCCCACCATAGCCCTGGCCATGTCTTCATACCTGGTGATCTGAGGTGTCCAGTTTGCTTGGCTGTCCATTTGACTCTTGACTGGCCAGCCCTGGGCTTGGGCCCCTCCCTCCAGCCCCCAGTGTTGGCTCTGCAGAGGCTCCAGGGTCCCCCTCAAGTGCACGAGGGACAAGGCTGTCCCTGAATCCTCCATTCTGCACTGGGGGACTGGTGATGGCTGGGGGCTGTGGCCTCTCAGGAGGCAGGCTCTCAATGGCGGGCATCCCTGCCCTGGCATGCCCTCCCCCAGACCCCTGACCACCCCCTGGGTCCTGCCCCCCACCAGACCCCCAGCTCCTGTCCGTGGGGGAGCCATCACGATGCTCATGTAGCCCGTAGCGCTTCTCAATGTGTGTCACCCGGAACCTGGGAGGGGAGGGAACACTGGGGCTTAGGACCACAACTCAGAGGCTGCTTGGCCCTTCCCTCCAACCAGGAATATTCTGGGTTTGATGGCCATTTCCCTCTGGCCTAGGGCAGGGGAGGCCTCATCAGATTGTGGGGCACATTGTGCAGCCTGACTCCTGCTGTAGCTCACAGTCCAGGAAGAAAGAGTCGGCGCCAACCTTTGGAGTCAGGTGCCTGATCATTGGGGCCCGCACCTCAACCTCCCTTTCCCTGGGGTACTCTGTCCCCACCTGCCCACAGAGAACACGGTGGTTTCCCCAGGCCGGGGGCGGCTCTTTCCTTCCTTGGAGCGTCCCTGACGGACAAGTGGAGGCCTCTTGTTGCGGCTGCAATGGATGCAAGGGGCTGAAGAGCCCAGGTGCACTGTGTGATGATGGGAGGGGGCTCCATCCGTCAGGCTGGAGCTGGCATCCACGCTGGACAATAGGGAGGAAGGGAGAGAAGGGGTGATATTCCCATTTCCCCTCCTGTTCCATTTTCTCCTGTCCTTTCAGTGTGCTTCTTAAACCCCCAGATGCTCCACTTTCCCCAGGGTCCAACATTCTTTTCTTGTCTTATTCTAATAAACTCAATATTAAGATGTTATTGACCATGTGTTCTGCCTGGCAGGGCTGTTTGCTAAAGAGGGCCGTGCTTAAGCCAAAGGAGTGGCACAAGGGGTGAATGTTAGGCTTGATGACATCCAGATGGGAGATAGGGTTTTAAGGACTCAGGACTTCTACAAAACTTTTTTCCTATAGGTTGGCCAGCCTTGCTCTCCTCTGCCGACCCCAGACATGCAAGGGGACTTGGTGAGGATTGTGCTGGAGGAGAGGGTACTCTCCAAGGCAAGCTAAGTCTCATAAGCCCTTGTTTCCAGCTCACCTGGACAGCTGCACTGTCCCTTCTCCTTCACTATCCCCCAGCATCTCCTTCAAGGCCTCAGCATTGGCTGAGGGGAGAAGGAAAAGAGGGAGTCAGTGGAGGTGGAGGTCAGGGCAAGAGAAAGTCAAGGATAGGGGAGCAAGGGGCTAGCCTACACGCACCTTCATTTTGGATGATGCAGCGAACAATCCTCTCTACTGTGTCCTCATTCATGTCATCGTCCTCAGCTGAAGGATGAAAGAGGTTGGCAAGGAAGCAGGAAATGAGTCAGCTTTGCAGGGACATTACCTGGTGGCTTCTGTGACTTATTGCTCAAGACATACCTCTTTACCTATGTGCCATCATGCTGAACGTTAGCATTTCAGGGGCCAGGGCAGAAAAGATATGGAAATCAATGGGAGCCCAAGACTGCCATCAGTGGGCCCTTCCCACCAATGCTGCCTTCTCTAGCCTTGCTTTCAGGGTGGTGTCACCCCCACTTACTGACTCAAGAAGGCATCACTAGGCCTACTGAAGGCTTGGTCGGGATTTGGCCTAGGTCTGTGGGCCAGGAAAGCAGAAGGGGGTGTGGGGAGATGGGTAAGGGATAAAGGTGACTGAGCCAGGTTCTAGGCTCCTCACTCACGGGGCTGGAGCTGGGCGTCGTCAGGCTCCGAGCCCCTCGAGGTGCGGCATCGGTACCCCTTCTTCTTGAGCACGTGGCAGATCATGAAGCCTACGAGGCCCATAAGGAAGAAGACCAGCACAAGCAGGAAGAGCATGTACAGCCCATGTTGGGGCGGCTCCAGGTCAGGCTGTGGTTCCGACATGAGGCCCTGGGGGGCGAGCGCGGGCCAGGGCGCCTCCTGGGGTTAGGGGGCTGCAGCTAGGGATGGGGGGATGGGGGTGACAGGAATGCCGTCCTCAAGATCCGAAATGAGCAAGCCTCCCAGGTCCGGCCCCACCCCCTACCCAACCAAGGAGCTGTCCGTGCCAGGGGTGCTGGTCCGGGCCAGGGGTGCCAGACGGAGGCTGCGCAAGCCCTCTTCCACGACCCTGGTCCCGCTTCCCCGACGCCCAGGGGGTTCCCCTTTCCAGCTTGTCCTGCGCTTCCGTCCCTCCCAAGGACACTGCAGAGCGAGATGGGACGGAATTCTCAGGCGGCCGGCGCAAGAATCACACCTGAGTCAGCGTCCGCACCTCCTCCGCGCCGGCCTGAGTCAGGCCTCTGCAGCCCCCTCCCCTGCCTGTACTCCCGCGCACACCCCTCCCTTTGATTCCTCCCATCCTGACCGCTTGGCCCACCCGGTACCGGTGGTTTGGTTGTGGCTCCGGCTCCGGCTTGGGTTCCGGCTCCAGGGGCGTCCTAGTCCGGCTCAGGGCCCCCGACGCCCTCCCGGCGTTCATCCCTTGCTTCCTCCCCCTCCCCCCTTCGCCGCCTCACCGGCTCCGGACTGCGGCTGCAGATACCGGTGCCGCGGCAGGCGGGGGGAGGGAAGGATGGAGAGGGATGCGGGCTGGTTGGGAGCGACGGCAGGCTCTGGACAACTCTGGCCCTGGGAAGGGGAGGAGATCGGGGGCGCCGCAGCCGCCCTGGTTCCCAAATGCCCTCGCCCGTCGCCGGTCCGGGACCAGGGGGCGGAGCGCAGGTGTGCGGGGCGGAGAGCTAGAGCCTTGCGCGCTTGTGAGCGCAAATGTGGTGCGCGCGTGACTGCGCCGGGCCCCCCCGGGGGACTGTGCGGCGCCGAGTCTGGGTCCGGGTCCGGGTCCGGGTGGGGAGGACAGGCAGTCAGGCAAGAATGCTCTCCACTGATCTATCCGGCACGCCTGGCGCGGCTTCCGCCCCCAGAGGCCCAAGCGGGTGGATAGGCTGGAATCTTCCCAGCGGGCCGGAGGAAGGCCGCTTTGTGCACCCGACAGGGACAGCGTGGCCGGTTCTCCGGAGCCACCTAGAGAGGTGACCACGGCCTGCGCCCCGTTTGGGGCAAATGGCTGGATGAGATGGCTCGGCTTCCCGAGGATTTGACCCCCGCCCGGAAGGAAATGGCCCTCGCATCCTAGGACCAATGCAACCTGTCCTGTGCCCAAACCCAGACGCTCACGCCTCAGAACCTAGAAGGGCGAAGCAAGGCGAGGGGCGGAACTCCGCAGGGGGCATGGTCTGGGCGTGGTCTAGGGAGGCGGGGCCTGGGCCTCCCGGTTCCGCAGAGGCAGGCTGCGTGCTTACGCAGCACGCACGACGGGGGTGGGGCAGGCGGCAGGGCGGGTGGCGGAGGCGCGGGGCCTTCTCCCGCTGCACCATGGCCAAGACCGTGGCCTATTTCTACGACCCCGACGTGGGCAACTTCCACTACGGTGAGGGATCAAGGTTATACGTGAGGGGTTTTGGGACGCGGAGGTTTCGAGGCGCGGGCTACAAGTCCAGGGATGGGAGCTGACGAACTCTCTTCTCCCACCCCAGGGGCCGGGCACCCTATGAAGCCCCATCGCTTGGCATTGACCCATAGTCTGGTCCTGCACTACGGTCTCTATAAGAAGATGATCGTGAGTCGTGCCTCCTCTGCTGGGGATTGAGGGTGGGGGCGAGCTGCGGCCCTAGGGATGGGTAGGCTGCGCTGAATGCACCAAGTGCGACCCACCCCTAGGCTGCGGGGGAGGCTGGATGGAAGGAACCAGGAGCACTCCCATGTGCAGAGTGTTGGTGGGTGCATCCTTTGACTTAATAGGAGTTACTTTTTCACCTTGGGTCAACCACCCTTTGACGTCGGGTGGACCAACCTTTGACCTAGGTTAGGGCGGAGTGGGGCTTGTTTGAAGACAGAAAGTATTTTCCTCCCTAGCATTTTAGGATGTGGGCAGTGCTGTGGCCTCAGGGAAGGGAGAGAGGCTGGATCACTGTATCTGGATGTGAGGTTACCCTCAGTTCCCACCCCTTTTCTGCGACCTGTCTTCACCTCCAAGGAGCTGGAGCTCCAGGGAGGGCTCCG